GGTCAAGAGGACAGGGAGAAGGTCGACCCTTACACCGTGACGGACGAAGACTTGGCTGCGTCGGTAGACGCGTTGACTAGGAGGTTGAGCAACATGCCTGAGTGGTCGGGAAATATGATCGACCCTGTGAAGTCTGCTGAGCTGGTCGCGGCGAGATGGGGCGGAAAGGCGAGTTATGACAAGCCTGAGGCTCCTCTGACTGAGGCTGGGATGAAGAGTGCGTCATTGGAGGATCGTGCCTACGCACTATCGCAGCTGAATCAGATGGTGAACTTTCACAAGAAGCACCTCTGCTCTGGGCGAGGAGCGCCTCTGGTGAGTGCGGCCGCCCCTAGTGGACCCTTTGCTCCTGACCAGTTGGATGATAGCAGGAAGTTCAGGCCTAGTGGGGCGGCGAGCAAGATGACCTACAATCTTGTGATACTGGATGGGAAGGAGGATTATCTTGCCGATAGGCGAGAGATCAATCCAGAGTTAAGGGAAACGGGAGTTATCCCTGATGAGGCCGTCACTTGCCAGATTGTGGTTCCCTCGAAGACGAGGTTGGGTGAATACCTCCCGAACTACGAGGAGACCGTGGGCACTGTTGCAGGACGGGAGGCGGCGAAGGAGTTGATGAGACTGCTCTCGTGCGATTTCGACGGCTTGGTCATCAATTCAAAGAGAGTCTCGGAGTTATTCGAGGAACGTGTGCTGAAGGAGACCGGACGCGAGGCTGGAAACTGGGTGAAAAGTGACCAGGCCATCTGGTTCCTGAAGGAGATTTCGGGCATGGAGAACGCTGAGATGTCTTGGAAGTTCTTCATTCCGACGCTTAAAGCTTTCCCGATAGGGCAAGTGGAGGCGATGCTCATGGTCATGTACGACGGGGATGGCGTTCTCCTCAAGGAGAGCACCAGGTTGGTTGCCGTTAGGCACACGCGGATCGGACGCGACTTGAGTTACAGTGCCGTTAGGCACAGGTATACTCAGGAAGATGCACCTGGCGGATCTCTGATGTATGAGATGCATTGGAATGAACTCCCCATGGTGGGATACGTCATCATGAAGTTCTCGGACTTTCGGAAGGCGGTTCAGCTCCAAAGGGTGAGGCGAAATGGAAAGGCCATGATCGAGATATTGATCACGAGGCCCGATGTGTACGAGACCATTGGGGATGGTAGGCAGGATGAGGGCCTGATCCCACTTGTGGGAGCCATGGCGCCGGATGCTGAGGTATCGCCTTCGTGGTATGTCAGGGACAGGCTGCGAAACTACTCCGGTAGGTACGTGGTGGTAATGGTGGATCTTCGGGTGCACTGGTCCTTGGTTGGACCCGTGTTTTTGACGAGAAGGAAGACTCTTGCCGTTAGGAACGAGATCCACATGGGGGCTTGGAAGGCGGCGTATATGTACGATGATTACACGATAGTGTACCATCGGGCATGGGACTACGGTGACTTCACCCCCGTTAGGGGAGAGCACAGGCGATCACGGGAAGAGATCAGGCTGAATGTGACTGCCACGTTCTGCTTGAGGTGCGCAGAATTGATGCCGAATGGGATGCACTTGTGTCCCGGGTGCGCGCTCCCGGTCTTTTACCCGAACTTTATCCCCAACGCGGAGGAAAAGGACTTCGAAAGATGCCACATCGTGCCGGAATGGGTGAGGACCATGGGGCAGTTCAAGCCCAGGAGGATCCCCTCCGAAGTGGTCGGAGTCATCAAGAGGAATTTGATTTCCTATTCAATGGCATCCGATCTGAGGATGACGGTGCAGAGCGGCATCAGACTTCCCCCTTATCTTGGTGAAGACAAGGGAGGTGTCGATGCGGCGTGGGATGAGCTGGCGAAGGTGCTCTTCCAATTCTCCTATGTGTCCGGGATTTCGGCCTCGGATGCGTTTGTGGAGAAGTGGGTGGCGAAGCACCTGATCAAGACCAACCAAGTCGATAGATTTGAGTCGGTCACGGAGTACTTCCGGGCCAACCCAAGACACGCTGCTCAGTGGGGTAGGCGTATGACGACTTCCGTTAGGAAGTTCGCTCGTCATGACACGTACTTGTCATTCTATATTCCGATGGCATACGTGATTGGTTCCGCGGCTGGTCATCTGACCCCATTGTACCCGACCCATCGAAAGGACGTGGACATCCTGGAGAGTCATGCGTTGATTTCGCAGCTCAGGAAGTACATGGTATCGGAGACGGGGTACGATGAGAAGAAGAGGTTGAAGGAGGCGATAGCCAAGGTGCAGAAGGCGATCAGCGCCGGACAGTCGGAGCCTCCCGCACCCTTCCGTGACCCGTTCGTCTACGTTAGTGACGAAAGGGTGAGGACGGTTCTTGACGGTCGTCAACCCGAACCATTGAACGTGGACATCGAGGGACTCCAAACGGTGCATCATACTGCGCCGGGTCCTGGTCCCAAGCAGGAGCCGGTTCCCAAGGGCGGAAAAGGAAAAGGGAAGAAAGGGGAAAAGGGCGGTAAGGGCGGTAGTCCTTCCGGCCCACCACCAAAATCAGGTGAAGTGCCAGGTAAAGGATCTGGTAAGGGCGGTAGCCCATCTGTCCCAAAGGCGAAGGATGATGCTGGACCTGCTCCAATGGAGGTTGATACAGCAGCAGCTCAGCCGAAGAAGTCTTGGGCCGAGATGGTGGTTGAAGGGGCCAGGCCGAGTGCTAAGGCTAAAATGACCCCGGTTCCTAAGGCCGAGCCGAGAGGGAAGGCTGCTTCAGCATCTGAGGCGAAGAGTGCTCCGGCTCCAAAAGCTGTGGCTAAGGAGACGAAGCAGGCGGAACCGAAGGTTGAGGTCAAGAAGGAGAAGACAGGCGGAGGTGACGCTCCCGGCGGTAGCCGCGGGTCGGCCGAAGGGCAGAAGAGAGAAAGGAAATCCCGTTGGGATCCCGACGAGGCTGCGAAGGAGTCGACGAAGCGGGAGGCGTCCACGAGGCCTGGCGACGTCGACAGCAGATCAGGTGCGGCAGCGAGAGAAGCTAGCGGGGATGATCTTCACTCCGCGCTTGGCAGATCTTCGGCAAAGGATGCGGTAGCGCCTTTGACGGCCTCCAAGGCGATGGCAAAGAAGCCTGAAGGCGGGGAGATCCGGCTGCAGTCTGCTGAGCGGGCCGCGGCGAGCCCGGTGGAGGGTCACTTTCTGGTGCTGCCTGAGAGTTCGGTGGTGGACGCTTTCTTGTCGATCTCCACCAACAGAGTGCTGAACAAGCAGGTCAGGGATTTCATCAGGAATGGTGAGGACGCGTCGGCACTGGAGGCTCTCAACCAGATCGTGACGAACTCTCGATCTGGGAGGAGGCATAGGGAATCGGATGTTTCCCGTACTCCTTCTCGGAGGTCCGTTAGGACCGTGGACACCAGGGATTCCAGAGAGTCGAGGAGGCGCAGATACCGTCCGCGGCGCGAGGATGATCGCGACAGGAGGAGGGACGATGCTCGTGATCGTCGTGATGATGATTCACTCGATCGGGAGCGAGATCGAAGGCGAGATGATCGCAGGAGATCCGAAAGGGATCGTGATAGGGACCGTGCGCGGGGCGGGCGTGACCGGAGGAGACGTGACGATAGCCGGTAGGCTGAGTCACGGGGATTGCGGCCGATAGGCTTGCGTCCATTCTCCAATGGTCGGCGCGGTGCGGAGGTGGTGATGTTCCTCCCGGACCGCTGAGGCGCGGAGGTCATGTCTCTCCCGTACCGCTGCTGAGCTGCTGGACGTGCTCATCCGGAAGCAGTGTGAGTGAGAGGGAAAGCAAACTGATGGGGGGTTACTCCCGGGTTTGCGGAATTCAAGCATTTTTCAGGTACGCATGGTCAGGGTACCTCTTGCCGTTAGGCGAGGGTACTAATGGACATACGTTATCTTTTATTTCATGGCTTCTGATAAGAATTAAACTTCTTGCATTGTTGATGCAAACAGTTGTGACCTAGTGTCGTCATGTGGACTTTTCCACAAGGTTTGTTGGACAGCGTTACCCCGATTAATTCGGGGTGGTGGCGGGAATTTAATGCCCGGGATGTCGCGCAACTGCCTTTGTGGGTTTGCTCCACCGCTGACGGCGGTAGTGTCCAGCTGTTTGCGGACGCATGCGAGCAGTTAAATCCTATCAGTAAATGGCACGCTCCACCCGTCATATGACGGGCTCCTCGTGAGGGGGGTGTGATTAGCCATGGTTCATATCATCATCAGGGACGTCGCGTTAGTGACCGACCTGTGGTGTTTTGGCTCAAGTTTTGGATCCGGCGCGCCTCGGATGAGCGTCGCCGGGCCCTCACGTCGACCGCCTTCGTGTCGGAGGAGAAAGAGACTTCGGCCCGGGGTAGGTTGGTGGGGATCGCCCGTGCGGTTCATCGTCGATCTAGGTTGCGGGTATCCTTTTCTGGTTTGGTTTGTTTTCCTTTGGTTGTTGTTCTCTGGTGTGTGGGAAACCCTGATCTTTGGGACCGGGGATTGGTTTGCTTTTGGGGAACCTTTCTTTTGTGGCTTGTTTACCCCAACTTACCCATTGCCTGGGCACAGGTTCGTGCCCGAATCACAAAGGGAATCTATCACTACTGTTTTTTTTTTGTGTCAGGCGGCTGAAGCAAATGGAAGGCTTGAATTGTATGCGCGGAACCCGTGAAACTCACAATTTTCCGGACAAGCGAGGCTTGTCCCAGTCGTTCAGTGGATTCCAAGCTGTTCCTTCGGTATTTTAGGTTCTGGGCCAAACTTCGCTCAAGCTGGCTTCGCTTCATTTGTTTCTGCCAAGCCTTGGATTCATCCAGAACCCGTGACCTGCTTGATTGATCCACTTCCACTCACTTCCCGAGTTCTTTGGACTTCAGTCACTTTTTGGCGAGACCATAGTGGTAAATTAAAACAATCGGGCTTGTTTAGACCATCATGGTGGTAAATTAAAAACATAAAAACAATTAAAAAGGCTTTTTTTTCCCTCATCCACTCAGGAAGTGAGTCCAACGCAAAGAGGCGCCAAGGCAAGGCCAATGTTTCGATCGACTCCGCAGGTCAGATCTACTTGGACAACTGGCCTGGGCCTTTGGGAGGCCCGGTCAGGGTTTCGCTCAAAATGCGCTCCCTTTGGCTCCCTTTGCCTCCCCACCTAAACACAAACTCATAATTTTCCGCCAGAAAGGGGACATCTATACCCGCAACTGTGCTTATTTTCAAGCATGGCGGAAACAACAAACAACTCACTTCGTGAGTTCCAAGACTTTAGTCACTTTTTGGGGTTGCACCATTTCAGTGGTAAATGCTGAGTTTGGTTACTTGTTTTGGCCAATCCACTCAAATGCCGGTTGGGGGAAAACCTCCTGAGGCGACGTGCGGCTCATCGAGGATGTGCCAGACCATGACCTGCTGGTGGGCGGGTTCCCCTGTCAGCCCTTCTCCTCGCTGGGTCAGCAGCCTGGCTTGGCGGACCACAGGGGCCGCCTCTTCCTCCACATCTGCCGGCTTCTGCGGCACAAACGACCCAAGGCACGATGGGGAATGTGAATCCAGAAGAAGGCGAATCATTCAGGCAATTTTTGGTTGTGGAGGGGGGGGAAAGGCAGTCTTCATGGGTAGTATTAGCGCGCTTCAATGCAGAATTGCATCCCATACTGCTAGCATGGAAACTCCTGAGCTGGCACGTCCATGCATATTCAGCATGGCCGGGCTACACAAACAACCCCCGGACGTCCTTGCTTCTGGCTGGAAGCGGTTGCCGGATGCCTTCGGCCCGGGGCTGCCAGCATGGCCAATGTGTAAGACTTAACCCATGTACAGGAAACACAGGCTGTAGATATGCTGACATCAGCCAATGATACATACACGGGCGCACAACAGTAGATACACATATAGATGTCTATATGTGTATCCATATATCCTTGTTCACAAATACACATATGCATGTACATAACACTCGAGATCTACGCATGCATGGATAGGTGTTCATGCAGGCAGATGGCCGCAGACGTGCACATGTACATGAGGATATTCGAAGAGTCGCTTGTTTTGCTCCACTCGGGGCAGATTTCAACACAAAGTCAGCTGTCAGGGGCTCGCACGTTCCGAGCACCGAATCGCAAGGCCGCCTTGTTGGAGAACGTGCCGGGGATCTTGAGCTGCGATGAGGGCAAGGCAAAGGACGAGGTACTGCTAGGACTGGCGTCTCGGACGGGTGGCGACCGGAGGTCGGGGGGTTAACCCAATGAAGGTCCTGAGGGATCCCTTGCAGCTTGCTTTGGATGGATCTAAGACCGGTCTGAGCCGAGAATGAGCTCCAGGATGAAGCTGTTTCGCATGGTTGCCCATGGGTACTGGGACAAGTTCACACCAGCTCACCGATGCGGGAAAACATACGAGCTAGCGAATGATGAAGCTTCTGTACCGGGGCTTCCTTATCTCCATTTACGGATGCTTGTTGTGACCCCCATCCTACAATAAGTGTGTTTGCAAGGGTGTGTGTGTGTGGTCAAGCGTTCGGCCTTGGGAACAAGTATGTTAATGACATATGTGTTGCCTTGGCACCAAGAGTCGCGTCGGGTTTGTCCGCGGAGTTTGTTTTTGCCCCCGTGGGTGATTCGATGTTTTCTGCTGACTATTTCGCCAAGTGCATTTTTTGAGAAATTCAGCACTGGGAGACGAGATGGCGACATGTACAATACGACATGTTAGAGGCCAAGACGAAGAACGAAACACAATCAAAGAAGAGAAAAACGAAACAAATTCCCAAAACGAAATCATAAAATCAAAGAGGAGAAAAAGGAAAACAATTCCCAAAATAAATCCGCACCCTTGGCCAACAAAAAAGCCGAGGAGCAGTCAGGCTACCGCGTGGCCCACCGGACCTTAGACTCATCCTTCGTGCTGCCACAACGGCGGCGGCGAGTCTACTTCGCGGCTCGGTTCTGAAATGGGCTTTCTCACCTGGCTGTGAGTCAAAAACGGAAACCCAAAATGGCTTGCCCTGATAAATGAAACCAGGGACTAAAACCTGCGGTCCTTGGTGGTTTAATTTTGACCCACACCCACCTGGGGCAAATTGGGTTGTGGTTGCTTTACTTTCATTTGCTTAAGACTTGTTTTCTATTTATTTTCCTCTGTTGGTTTTAAAGTATGTTTCTTTCCAGGTAGCTTAAGCAAACGCGAAGTTTAGGGTACTCCCTTTTGGTTCAGGTAACCCTTAGTTGGTGGGTTTGGAGTGGTCGTGTATCGAGTAAAATGGGAAACGGCCCCTTAAACCATTACAAAGCAGCAGCTGGAGGGAAGCTGATCGGTGGTTTGGGGGGGACCACAAGGAAACATCACCCAAAAGTGCGCGAACCCCTATTTTGAGGCAACCCAAATGGGTCAAGTCAAGATTTCAGATTTTCTGTTTCGTGAGGTGGCCATCCGCATGGACTTGCCGGCCTGCGAACGCACCTGGCCTGGGTTTCTTGCTCGTTTCCTTCTGACGTGCGTTCAGCCGTAGTTGCTCAATGGAAGCCATGTTTATCGCCAAGAACCAAGAAACCCCGATAGAAGCTGGGCACCAGAGAGGGGGGGCTGAAGCTGACCTGTTTGGGCAAACGAGCTTATCTCGGTGTACGTCGCAAGGTCCTTGGAAACGCGAACTTGGGCGAAATTTGTCGAGCAACTTGGTGGGATCTCTGGACTTTGACTTTTTGGTTGAAACTTGTTGGGTTTTCCATTGGACCCACAACAAGTTGAACACTTTCTGCAGAGGGGCCGTTACAGCTACCAACGCAATCGGCCTTGGCAAACCTCACCAGCAACCCGAAGGCTTTCGCTTTCCCTGGCTGCCGCAACTCCAGCGCCCTGTGCGCGAGATCTTGGAGCCGTTGTCGCCGCAGCAGCAGGAGGCGCTCACCGCGGCTCGGTCCAGGGAGGGAGATGGATGGCAACATCCTTTTGGGCATAGGCGTCCTTTTGATCAGTTAGCTTGATTAGAAATAGATGGGTTCCACTGGTTCAGATTGGTTTTATTCCGTTTACCAGAGCCATCTATCTTCCAAAAAGGATACCTATGCTTTTGGGGGGTTGCTTCAAGGGGAAGCCGGAGAGAAACCCCTAATCCCATCCTTTCTTGGGTCCGGACCTATGCTAAGCGTTTGCTCCCAAAACGGCTGCTTTTCCAGCCAAAGCGGGTCACTGGGCCATTTCATTCGCCAGCCAAGCGGGCCATGGGAACACAGAAACACCCTCAAGCGTGTTGCCAATCCTCCAGAGAAAAAGTATCCCTTTTCCTTAATCAGCGCAGTGCTCAGAGCATCCCACTCAACGAAGCCCGCCAGTGTGAGCCGGCGATTGTGGATCCAAAGTGCCTTTGGCCCGAAAACAAGGCTCATTTTACATTTTCACCCCAATAGAATGACCATGGCTGCTGTGTTTGGTTGTAGCTTTCTTTGCCAATCCTAAAGCAAAGACTGCGATTCCTGGGCCGATGCGCATGACCGGCGTGAGCGTTTAGATGTCCAGAGCCGGAGAAACACGTGCCTCTCGCTGGGGCTTAAGCACCACCAAAGGCACAACACCAAGGCTCCAAAAACAGTAACCAAGAAGCCAAATCATGGCATACAACAACAAGCTCACGCAACAACTAGCTGACTGGCCCGAATTCATTTGGCCTAAGCCGCCCACGCTGCTTATGATTTCCCTCAGCTCTGCATGATTGCGACACGCCCGGTGAAGCCTTCAACGTCTGAGAATCTGACAGCTACGGCAGAAAAGACCTGACTGAGCTTGGGATAGTTATATAGACTCCATGTTCAGAAACCTCACTTGTATCACGCCGAGGGCTTGTTTCTGGCATTTTATTTGCAGGAAGTTTGGCAAAACTAATTCCGATGTTCCGACCATCTAACGCAATAATCTGGCTATCAGCTAGTTGTTTTGCATCCATTATTGCAGTTTGTTGATACGGGTTATTCTCATTTGTCTTGGCAACACTGGGGATAGACGACAAGTTGAGGTTCTCTGAGGGCTTTAGTGACAACCTAAGCTCGGGAGCAAGGCCATGACAGTCATAGGACCTCTGCGAGGCCCCCCCCAGTGGCTGTCTTATGGCTGTTTTGGGCGTTCACCCGCCAGTTGCGTGCTACAGCATTTCCATTCACTTCCGAGCCTGCTTGATTTGAGCAAAGATCGCGGCGACGCGACGGGTTTGGGGTCATAGGTGTCCTTGTTGGCTCATTTGTCTGAAAAAAATGAGTGCCCTGGCTTACCTGGTGGTTCCATCTACCAGGGCCAAAAAGGACACCTATGCCTGGGGAGTTTTTGGCTAGGTCCCCAGTAGTGCCCTTTTACCCTTTTTGGGGGGAGGGTTCCCCTACTAAAATAGACAAAAAAGAAAAAAGGGCACCAACTTATTCTACCCTCTCTACTGGAGGACCTTGTTGCGACGGGCCTGGGGTGTTTTTTGGGGAATCCGAGGTCTCGGAGAAGTACTGGGCCAAGCTCTCAACCTCTCGCTGCTTCCAAGAACGCCCCCAGGCGCCTGGGCCTTTGCTTGAGGTGGGTGGCAGGGGTGGCACACTCAGTGGGGTCGGTGCCCGTTGTCCATTTGGAAAAGGGCTGCTGTAGGAGGTGTAGATGGTGTAGGAGGTTCATATGGTAGATTTGTGGGGGGTCTTCGCAGTTTGTGCGGGCTGGAGTGTTTCGCCAGCTGCTGCCAGTACATTGCCCGCACGCATGTACTGCTGCTCGTTTAGACTTGCCATTTGAACGTTCCTGGTTTATCCGGCCGGACTTGCCACCTGCTGGCATTACATCCTGCCGGACGCATGCTTTTCCGTTTGCTTAGATCTGTCATTTCGGCCTACCTGGAGGGTCTCCATGACCCTTCGAAAATGGGGTCATCACCAAAAATCATGGGGTCATGGACCCATTTTTAAAGGGTCATGGAGACTCCAGGTACTTGGGTTGCACTGGCGCTTCGGCAAATGGTGCCAACTTTCGTTCCGCATGCTGCACAATCCCGCTTCGCGCTGCCTTTTCCTGCACGCTTCTTTTGCACGAGACCCTGGGAAGAATACTCAACTAGAAACAGGCGCATGTTGGCCAAGCAGGCGAATGCTGAACTCTGGGGGGTCGCTTGGCCGGACTGAAGCACCACTAATCTTCCTCAATGGATAAGTGATCGCCAGAGAAGGCGACAGAAGCCTGGCCGCAGCGCACAAATGTTGGCGTTTCTTGCGTTCCCAGACGGCGCCTCACCATGCTTTCTTCCACGGCATGTGCGCGTTGTAGGCACAGCTAGGGGGGGGCTTTTGTCTTGCAGCTCGTGGAGCTGGGGCCTATGGCAATTGTTGTTGGCTGCAACACATTGTCAGCGTCGGACCCAAGAGGGCTGTATGTGAAACGCGGGATCCAGTCATTGGTATGGAAACCAAATGGGGAAGATACCCCAGAACGTGCAAACCAACCCGCCAAATAGAGGGAAGCTGCGCAAATTTGTGCGCACTTGGCGCAGGACATCGTGGCACGTCTAGATGAACCGGCCGCGCCGCTCATCTCGGCCTATGGCTCCACGAGGTGGGGGTTGCGAAGGCTTGAAGCCGAGCTTGGTGCCGCCAGGGTGGCGACTCTTTGTCTAGGTCCCCCTGCTAGGTGCCCCTTTCTCACCAACTTTTTTTGAGGAGGGCCCCCCTACGAAAATGGACAAAAAACAAAAGAGTGAGCACCAACTTATTCTAACCTCTCCACTGGAGGACCTAGTTGTGTGTGTTTGTGTTTGTTCTTTTGAGCGCGTGATGGGTAGCCTGGACATGCCTGGTCGTATACAGCGGTTTTCAGGTCAGTAGCTTTCATCGCCGAGTTATGTTGCACGCGCATTCTTTTGCACCATGAATTGAACTTCAAATGGTTGCGTGTGCGGCTTTGCGCTGGCTTTCGGATCCAAATGGCCATTTGGTTGCATCTTCGGACTTTCGCTTTCTGGAACTTGATGGATTGATTTTCCGAATGCCCACACAAAGTGGTGGACCACTTTTCGCAGAGGGGTCGGTACAGCCACCAACCTGGGGTCTCCATGACCCTTTAAAAATGGGGTCACTGCCCAAAATAATGGGGTCAATGACCCATTTTTTAAGGGTCATGGAGACTCCAGGAAGAGATGAGCGCCCTATCCCCAGACCCCAGACTTCCGAGGAGCGCGGGCAGCTACGCCGCAGTGACCCAGTTCGTGCCCCAAGAAGGCCTGGAATTCACTCGGGCGGTCGCAAGCAGGTGAACCACGCAAAAGGGGGCAGCGGGGAAGCCTTACCGGTAAAAGGAAAACACGGCCAAAGGTTTTGGGGAAGACCATCCGTTAGTGGTAAGCAAGAAGTTTTTAGACTTTGGGTTTGGCCGATCCACGGGGGTGACATCATTCAGGCGGGGAGTTATGTCCACCAAACACCTTTGAGGGGGTTTGGATTGAAATTCGTGGCCCAATAAGCAGCGCCCAAACAAGAACCATTGGCTAGGTGGTCCTTCTACCTTGTTTCACGAAGGTTGTGAAGTAAGGCCTATAAATTCAACCTTTAAAGCCATAGAGCGGGTTTTGGGCGCTGCTCGTATGGGGTCTAACCGTCTGAGACGCGATTCTGTGTATATTTGTCCATTCCGACCGATACCAGGGGGCCAACCATCTTATGATCCTGGTGTTTTTCCTTACATAGGCTACCCTCGGTTGCTGGTTAACCCCGTGCAAATTGTAGAGGGTGAATAGCATGGGAACCGCCCCCCCGGAACAAGGAGCCCAGGTTCCACAGGATGGACGTGTCAAAAGGAGTTGCCTTTATGTCTATTGTAGGGACCTATACACGGGGATAGGCATGGCCACCACACCTGTTCCCGGTTCTTCTTTTGTCGTGGGTCCAATGCAGTGGTTGGAAGGGAGCCGTTCCGGAGCTGGGGGTAATGCCCATCCCCCTCTAGGGGAAGCCTAGGCATTTTGTGCGCAGGCTTGTCCTTGTGGGCAAAAACAGGCTGGTCGCTTTGGGGCACCAGCCAGAAGAAGGACAGCTCCACTTGACCTCAGCTACCATGTCCTTACGCTGCTGAATTCCGTCATTTTGGCGTCATCCCCTTCAACCCACGTGTAGTTCCTATCCACTGTCACCCTGGTGCATGTTTCTTATACCCCCTGCACGGCCTTGATGTAGGACAACGTCCGCGTTTGCTGTCGCAGCGGGAGTGCGCCCGACTCCAAGGATTCCCAGACGCTTGGAGACCGAACATGCTTCGGACTCACTTGGTCAGGCTCCTGGAATATCTTGTCTTGTCCTTTCTTTTTCTTATCAGGTTGGACCCCCCTTAATCGGTGGATTTCCTGTTGGTGTTGCTTGAAACCAAAGAGGGGGTACCCTCCAAACATATCAGACACCCATTTAAAGGGTTTCTCTTGTTTTTTCTCCCGTGGGGCGCCGATTGCAGGCCCCAATGAACACGCGGTTGCGAAACATGTGAGCCTGAACCATGAACCGGGTTTGGGATATTTTGAGCCGGGCCCGCAATAAGTTGTTTGCTTGTTTGTTCGTGCTATCTTCTGGGCAAGTGCAGGCACAACACTGTGCCAAACGCAGCTTGTCCCCCCCAAAATGGGTACGTCTTAATATTGGGCACCGGTTCATGGAGGGCGGCGCGCGGAAGAAGAAGCAAGAAGTGCTGAGAGCCTGACGGGAGAAAATCCGAATGGTGTGTTTGTTCTTGAGTATTGTTCTAGGGGTACCTTCCCTATTCTTTCCAGGGATCCTTCTTCCCAAGAAACCATCAACCACTCAGGGGAAACAGCCGGTTTATGCAAATAATGATATTTGAAAAGAATGGGGAATAGGAATCAACCCCTAGAATTGTTTCGTCATGGCCCTAAGTCATGATGCATCTGAGGATGTTTCAGCGTTCGAATTAAGCCGTATCACCTGGGATGTAGCTCTAGACTTATCAGAAACATGGCTCTTTTGGCATCATACTGGATGGACAAAATCCTGCACCACCCAAAAAAACCCTGGAAGGATGATTGCCCTCTAAAATGCCAGCAAGCAACCGGTTTCAACCATGGTTTCAACTTGGTGCGACAGGGATTGCGCAACCATCCACGGTATGAAGCTTGGCTGAAAATTGAAAAGTCGGGGTCCCGTGACTGGATCTTTTTGGTCTCCCCTTAGGCCTGAAGAGGCGGCCTCGTGCCAGGTCCCAAAAGTGTCACAGATGGCTCACAACACATCTCCGAGTCTCCATTCACCAGCCTGCTGGGTTCTGCCACTTATTCTATTCCACTATATGGCCAAGGGGCCACATGGTTGATTGCTTGTCCTTTTGGTGTCGGCTTTTTGTTGAAGGAAGACGGGCATACGGCCCAATGTGGTCACTGGGCAGATGCACAACCGAATTATACGCGGATTCCTTTCAAAGGACTGGCCAAGAGGGCTTTCCAAGAGGTTGGGTATTGGCAGGGAGTCTTGTCCATGCTTTCACGGAAAGGCGTTCGACCATTCTTCCAAAAGGCGCCGGTTTTCGATGCAGCTCGGACGCCAGTTTTGGAAGCCCCCTGAGAGATCCATTTGCAGATCTACCGTGCAAAGATCAATTCGAAAGGGCATGGTCCTTGTTTCGGGATCGACCTTGGCAGAACGCGCGCCGAGGAAGGATATCGCCTTGACCACTGTCAGGACGGGAGGGGGACTGCGATCAAAGGCGGATCCCACAGCTCTGCCAGTCTGCGGGTTTCGCTGGTTCTTAGGCTGTCCAGCCAACGAATAGCCGGCATTTCCCATAGATCTGGCTGGGTTTCAGGGGTTTGGTTCCAGATGAACAGCACGTCGGTGCCGAATCACGTTCTCTTTTCGGAGTGGTCCAAGCTTGCCGAAACATCCGAGCTTGGAAAGCGCAAGTACGGCAATTCCACATGGCATTTACTCGATGTCGCGCACTTGTTCCAGGAGTCCCGGTTTGGCTGCGCCCCTGCTTTGAACAATGTTCGCCCGAGCTTGTCTTTTAAATGGATGTGTCTAGTGTCAGGCCCTAGGGGTGGCGCCCTTGTTCCTTGCTGGCTTGGGTTGTTTAACATCAACCAGCTTGCGTCCTGGATGGAAAGCCTGAAAGGGACTGGAAGCACAAACCAACCACCGTCACTTGCTTAAGACTTGTTTCAGTATTTTTTGTCGCCCTTTTGGCCTACTGGACATCTTTTCTGTTTTTTTCAAACGGGCTCTAAACGCAAATGGATGATAACCAAAAAGGGGGGGTCCTTTTGAAATTGGTGTCCCGCCATTACCACCGAAAAAAAGCGGGCATACCAACTCTATGATTGGTGTGCAAACCGGGTGGGGGGTCCAAGGTCTGGAAAACCCAGGCAGGACACATATGTTCATTAATTTTTGGTCCAGGCAGCTCTGGGAACCCAAAAAAGAAACTGGGAGTCTGGAATTGTTGGTCCAGGCAGCTCAAATGTCAAATGAAATGGAAGGGAGTCTGGGACCGCAGTGTGTCCAGTAGTGAAATCGGTTCCCTTTAAAACCAAGAGAAAATAGCTCATATAGAAGGTGTGGGAAAACCAATAAAAGAGAATTTCAATGGAGGTAATCAAAATGGCTCCAAATTCCACCAAGTTTTGACCTTTTGGTTTTACTATTTTGGTCTATTTTTAGTCATGGCCCCAAAACGTTAACTTCTATTTTTAGCTTTTTTGGGCAAGTGAAACCTTTAGTCTGGAAGCCGAAAATAAGGAACCTCTAGGGGTTGATTCCCCATTCTTTTCAATTATCGTTCTTTTCATAAACCGGCTGTTTCCCCTGGGTGTTTGATGGTTTGCTGGAAAGAAAGATCCCTGGAAAAATGGGGAAGATACCCCTAGAAAACCCGGGAGGACAAGCACATGGCCTGGTTCCGCGCCATCGGCAACGCCGTCTCCGTGCCCGTCGTGGCGGCGGTGGCGGACGCGCTGCTGGCGGCGCTTGAGGGCTCCGTGGGCTTCGGCCCGGGGCCCCGGGGGCGTCGGAGTGGGGCGGGGCGAGTGGGTGGCCGGCTGCTTTGGGAGGCATGCTGCATTTTGGCCTTTCAGAAGACCTTTTCTTTTGAAACCTGTTTTTTTTTGAGGAAGCTTAAGTTAAGATGTTGTTTTGTTGTTTTGTGTTTGCCATTTTGCGTTATTTTGTATTTATTTGTTTCTCCTGAGTTTAGAGGGGCTTTTTCTATAACCTGTTTTTCTTTTAGAGCGGATTTCAGAAGCCTTCTTCGCCTTTCAGAAGGCTTGTTTTTGTTTAAGACCTGGGGGTTTTCGAGGGGGGATCTGAAGTCAACGCCAAGGGCACCCGCTTCGCCTGTTTTGGCCAGCATCGATCCATGACGAGTTTCCACTCCAGACGGACATTCCTTTCTTCCGCCGACTGGTGGAAACATGGATATATTTGTTTCAGGGGTCAGTATTTAAGAGATCTTGGGATAAAGAAAACCTGGACACGTGCCCTCCCAAGAAAACAACATGCAAGTTTGCGTGCGTGCATGTGTGTGTGTGTGGACTTGCGGTCTGTGTGTCTCTGTGTGTGTTGTGTGTCTGTGTGTCTGTGTGTTTGTGCGTCTGTTTGTCTGTGTGTCTGTGTGTCTGTATGTCTGTGTGTGTCTGTGTCCGTCCGTCCGTCCGTCCGTCCGTCCGTCCGTCTGTTTGTGTGTCTGTCTGTGTGTGCGTGCGGGCCTGGGTGTAGAGCTGAGTTCGTGCGTACATGCCTACGTGTGTGCCTGCGTGTCCGTTTGCTTTATGATTGTTGCTGAAGGCCACGTGTGTTTCCCAGGGAGCTTCACTCACTCTTCAGAGGAACTGGGTTACTCTCGCAGGCCATTTGGAGGAATCCAGCTAATTACGATGCAAGAAGATAATTCAGGGATATTGTGGTCATTTGCTAGTTGTCTTCATGATGCAGTCCTTGAAGGCAAACGATCATCTTGAGGAAATGGCTGGTCGTGATATTGACGAGCCAATTGACAGTACAATTGATGTTTCGGAAAGTGCGAACGAGCTGCAAGTTGAATGAATTCGAGAAACATAGGAGCTCGGGAATGAAAAAAGGAGGCTGGAAAATAAGATAAGAAATGGAACAATACCATGGAAATGAGCCTCTTATCTCTTCACCCAGGCTACAACCATAGTGGAAGCTTGTGTCTGGCATAGAACCAATATAGGGAGGCATTCTGTGTTTTTTTCTTCAGTGCACGGCCATTGTTCCAACCCCAGTGAGTAGAGGTAGTTCAGGGGACTTGGGTAGAGAAACATGAGTCTTCTCGGATGCTGTTGTTTCCTCAGCCTTGATCACCCCCTTGCTTTTGGTGAACATGTGCGTGCCATGTTGGCACCCACCCGTGGGTGTATAACAGGATGAACCATCGCGTCCAAAGCTTTTAGAAGGTTCCTGGGCCATTGGTGTGGGCTGGCTTATTTGGTTCTATGCAGGCCAACTTTTCGGGCAGTGCTGATTTTGGTGGAACTGTAGACCTTGTGAACTGTACTGATTTGGGGAATCGTTTCCGTGACCCCTGAATGGGCTGTTTTGAAGGGAAGTAGCCCTGCCGAGGAGAGCGTTAAAGGACAAAGAGAGAGAGAAAGAGAGAGAGAGAGAGAAAAAGAAAAGAGAGCGCGCTGCCTTTTGGTTCCAACTTGTTTTTGGACAGCAGTTTCCTTCTTGCAATCATTTCCCCCAACAAACAAGGAAACACCGGACACAGGCCACGTCTTCCCGGTTTTCGACCGAACAATTGGCCGGTTGAGGCGCAGGGGCGGCGCTGCGGTGTGCGCTGGACGCCTGCCCTGCGGAGGCCAAGTCCCAACTCTTGGACCGCCAGGTGGGGGAGGGGGTTGGGTGGTTGGGGGGGGTGGTTGAGGGGTGGGCTTTTTGGTTGGCCCAGGTAGTTCGGAACTAGGTTGGGATCCCCAACCCCAAGCGAGGTAATTCTTTTGCCCAAGGCGGACCCAACTTTTCGCCTTTGGCCTCTGCGCTTTTAATTCCGACGGGGCGCCTCGCTTTCACCGGGTCGAGTTTGCACTTGCGGCTCCATGGCCCGATCGGAGTGAAGCCAAGTCGTCTCAAGCCTAGGCGCCATGCAGGTACCTCCGGCATCGCGTGGCTTCCGGCGCGGCCCAACACATAAGTCTATGTGAATAATTAGGGCAAAAAACCTCAAAGCGTTCACAAGGGTTCCGGTCACTTGAGCCATCAAAACTAGGTCCCCCAGTGCCCTTTATCACGTTTTTTTGGGGAGGGTTCCCCTTCTCAAATAGACTAGAGGAAAAAAGGGTACCCGTATTCTATCCTTTCTACTGGAGGACCTAGAAAAGAACCATAAATGGGGTGCTGCCGCCTTTTTAAGGCGTTACATGGTTCTGATGGTACACCATTTGAACAATCGGTTTTGATTGCGACTCACTGGTCCCTCAAAACAAGTACCACCTGTTTATTTGTCTTTTTTTGGGGGGGTGGGATTTCGGGGGGGGGGGTCGGGGGGTTGGGTTGGCATATGGCCAGGTCCGGCTGCCCAACGGGGAGCTGCGGAAAGTGGGCCAGCTGCTTGCGCCTCGGGAGCCGCGGGCTGGGTGAGGTCGAGGGGCTTCTCAAGCTAGGTCCCGCAGCTTGGTGCCCTTTTACCATTTCTTTTTTGGGGGTGGGGTTTCCCTTCTAAAAATAACAACAGACAAAAGTTGGTACCTATCCTCTCTACTGTAGGAAGAATCCCCAGCCCCGAAGAAAACGAGAAAACGGAAGTGGGGGGGGGGGGTGTTTTCTCGGAATTCTATGCATGGTGCCATTTTTTCGGGAAACTCGAACATGTTTGGGGAGATCTCCATTTATTGCATTTTTCCGTTGGGGAGGACACTAAAAATGGAATTGGGGAAAGAACCCCACGCCCCTCTCGGCGGGATGATTTAGTGGCTTCGGGGCAGTCAGGAAAATCCAATGCTACACACTTGACTGCTATTGGGTTGGGTCTTTAGACCTTTAACCTTTTGGGAAATCAAGGGGTGTTCCACCACTATTTTAAACCCCCAAAAAGTCATTCACTTTTTGCAGGGGGGTCAACAGAAACCAAGCACAGAGGTGGAGGTTGTGTGGCGGGCAGTCCCAGCGCCCGCAACTTGCCGAGCAGATCCAGGCTCAGTGTGCGTGTGTGGCAAAAATACATATGGCCATGGGTCAAACTCCCATACCCCCAAGTGAACATCCCAATCCGCACTAAAATAGGTTCTAAAATGGGTGGTGACTTCACCGACCAGCCAAAATGGGATCCCACTAGTTTTGACCCACAGCCATATACATAGACATAGGGCTCTGCACATGCAGTGTGTGTGTGTGTGTGTGCGCGTTTTTTTCGGATCGTTGGCTCAAGGAGCCAAGCTGCTGGTCCTGCCTGGCCTGGGCGGCTTAGCTCGCCGGCCGGCCGGGGCCTCGGGCCTGCGGCCCCTGTGCCAAGTGAGTCCAGTTGCCTCCATTTGCTTAAGAATGTTGTTTTTGTTGTTTAATCCCTTGTTGGTCTTAAAAGGAATTCATCACTACCGGAAATATTTTGTTGTTTTTTCCTGGGGCCGTAACCAATGGAAGTTTGCTCAATGGGACCTTTCCATTTTCTTGAGAGGATACAGCTCCTGAATTGTCCCTGGCTGGATTTAGAGGGAATCTATCACGAATGGATTTGTTCCAGGCGACAAAAAAGCAAATGGAAGTTGCTGGCACAAAATTAAACACGGGGGGTTACGCAGGTTTTTGGTCCATGCTTTCACTTGCCAGGGTTCCAATTTGGTACCGATTTTTTGTGCCACAGCCATATTTGTGCTTGGTTTTTTCTTCAAGGAAGCAGCCATAGGTTCCTTCTAGGTCTACATGTTGTCCCGCGGAGTCCTCAACGTCTTTGCTGGGATCTGTGCTATGCTCCCGGCAGCGGCCCTTATCACCTTCTTTGCACAAGCCGCGAATGAAGCCTGGTGACAGTGCAGTCCGCCTAGAGGCGCCGCCGCAATGATTTACAGTTGTTTTGCCTTGTCTTGTTTTATGTTTTGTTTTTTTGTTTGGTTCTTCTTCTTTCTTTTTTTTGTGGGGGGGTCTGAATTCCCATCACGTTGCTGGAAGAACTGCAATCCGATGAAATACCATGACGCAGCAAAACCCCAAAGCCCAGTACTTCAACGTAGTGATTCCGCAAGGTCAGTTGCCACCGTTTCAAAAGTCATAGTCAGAAGGGATCGCATACAAAAACATAGATGAATTCAGCGCACAGCAAGCAGAAACAGTTCGGCGCAGAGGGGGTGTGGCAACGGGCTCTGAGGCTTCGGCTGTGTCGGAGAACAAGCAAGAATTCGTTCCTTTTCGAGGTTTCAGGCATATACGTGTATATATACTATATAAACAAAATGTTGACATGTGTATATGCGAGACATTCTCATTGACGCATTGCTACAGTTGGGCAGGATGTAAGCGGGCATTGCTGCTACCCATTTTGTAGTTGGCATTTCCTTCCGTTGGTAGAAGGCTTAATCGATTTGCCCGGTGTTTTGCAATGTGGCGGAGCTGGAATAGCGAAGCCGCGAAGCCACGGTTCCGAGGTGCACCGCCGGACCGCTCTGGTGAGCGGAGATCGCTTGAAAAGCTGTGACGGCGAGCTCGTGGCGCGAGCGCGAGCGCCGAAGCTTTCCTTGTGCACACACCAGGTGTCCTGACTCTTGCTCAAACGCGGGGCCCGACATGTTGGATATCCGTTTTTCCTTTTGGCTGGTTAAAGGGCAGTGAGCTGCCCCTCAACATGCGCATGTTATCTGTGGTTGGTTCCCTTGGGCGGCCCTTTGAACGATCCAAGCAGGTCCCTATGTCAGTCGTTCGCCGGGATCAACCCCTTGCCCAGCCACAGGTTCGTGTAGCTGGCCGCCAGGAAGCACTTCAGGGTCGGTTTTCCCGCGGGCCCCAAACACTCCGTGAATGACCCCGGCTGATAGGAGGCTAGGCTCAGCTGCTCCTTTCAATTCGTCCATTTCAGTTGGCTAGGTCCCCCAGTAGTGCTCTTTTCCCCTTTTTTTGGGGGAGGGTTCCCCTGCTAAAATAGACTACTTACAGAAAAAAGGGTACCCTTATTCCAACCTTTCTACTGGAGGACCTAGTTAGGCAATTTTCCTTGGGAGGGCGTTGAACCTTCTCCCAAAGGCTCGATGGGTTTTCCCCGGCGCCAGATCGGCTCCAAGCTGCGGCGCGGTGTCCTGACGCAGGAGGCGGGGAGTCACGAGCCCAAAGGTCCGTTTTCGTTCGCATATCTCGCGGTCGACGTAAGCTCCCCGCTTTCTATGGACGCCAAGTGGGAAGCATAGCAATGCCAACTGAAGATTCAAAAGGCGTACGTGGCTCCGAGGCTTCCCCGATAAGAGGGGTATCGAGGACGTGTCCTGTTCGCAGGATTCGGATGAGTTGCCGGTCCGAACTTGCGGGCATTAGAGGCCTTTCGCTTGATGGACTCAGTTGCCCAAAGCCGACCTTTTGACCTTTTGGTTTCTCCTTTTTGGTCTAGTTTTAGTCATGGCCCCAAAAGGTTAACCTTTTATTTCCGGGTCCTTTGGGCAAGTGAGAGGATCGAGGTCGTTTTGCTGCTTTAAGCTCTGGAAGCTCGGGGCAAGGATGAAGCTTGGCTGGGCCGGGCCCGAGGTTTTTGAATGGAACTTGGAGGTTGCCAGAGCTATAGACTTTTGAAGTTGAGATCGGGAAGGGAGATTGGACTTGCCTGGCGGCCCCGGCCCCCGAAGCAAAACCAAAAATCCAAAAGAGGTTGCTTAACATAAATCTGAAGATGTAATTCACTCTGGAGGCATCACCGAACCACCAAGTTGAAGCAGCGGCTCAAGGGGCACTTTACCACAAGAGCCCTGCTGACAGCGGTCGGATGGGACTTGTCATGCTTCCGCTTAGCATGTGTAGCCCTGCCAATGGCCAAGTCAAGACAACTGCGTTAGCTTCTCAATCGCGCACACCACCCACCATGTCTTTGTTTCCAAATCGGCTGCTATTTCGGAGAGGCTACCATTATCTTGCATTTGCAAGGCAGACAGGGCCCGTCCCAAAGTCAGCAAATCAGAGAGCTGCAGATGTGATCTTCGAGGGAGTGTTAGCAATGGCTTGGCCGCATGCGTCCACCGCCGTGAGGCGGTTTGGGTTCGTGGAATCGGGCGGGAGCTTCTTGTGCTCCAGATTCACGCCCTCGAAGCTAAATCTGTCTGGCAGATGGTCTTGTTCGCTCAAGTTGGATTTCAAGTTGCCGGAAAAGCCACGAACTTGCAACCTGCATGCCACTTCGTTGGCTTGCGGAAAGTGCCTTGTGTACTATCAGATTCAGACTGGATCACACGTTTATTTCGGTGAGACCACGCTGTGCTGTATCTTCTGCACTGTGATATTTGTCTGTTATGACCTTCAAATGCCCAAGAATAACATTCCCCAGGTTTATGAATGCAAGCTTTCAGCCAGATAGTCGATCTTTACATGGCAAACGTGCGCCCGCCATTGTCAGTCGCGCGTGCGAAGCCTGGCGCACGTGGGCGGTCATGCCTTTTTGCGCTGTGAGTTGGGTGTTGTTGCCTCGAGCCATGCCGGCTAGCGATGTTGATGCCACATAGTGCACTGCCGGACGGCAATCACCGCATTTGCTGATGAAGCTTGGCCGCCTTGCCCATCAATCTATGACTGTGCGGCTTTATTTGTGTATTTCTGAAGCACTTTCAACCACATAGTCAAAGCTTCATAGGACAGTAGCCGGTAGCCGGTGCTAGCAACACTTTGCGGACATGGTTTCGTTGTTGTGAAGCTGGGCCGAATTGAACACGTCACAATTCTCCTTTAGGCATGTGGAAGAAGCCAGTGTTTACAGTCAACTACTGGAGTTTGGCAACCTACGACGCTGAAATGCGAGGCTTTTGGCGGAAACGAGTTTCCCTTCGCCTACTGAGAGTCTGCGTTTTTTTTTTTTTTTTTGCCGATCTCCGCAGACTGGGCTCAGAGCTGGTGAATTCGGGGCCGTATCCCGCGCCTGCCAAGCATGGCGCGGCGGCCTGACGACACTCGAGGTGGGCAAGTGACAAGATTTTCTCACTGAACTCTAATTGCTCCTAGGTCCCCCAGTAGTGCCCTTTTACCTGATTTTGGGGGAGGGTTCCCCGACCAAAATAGGCTACAGAAGAAAGTTGGTACCCTCATTCTAACCTCTCTAAACAGCCCTTTTGTGTCCGGGCTTCACAAATACTCTTTCGAATTTGAAGGCAGCACTTAGCGACGGGCTGGGCCCAGAGTGGCCGATTTTTGTGCGTTGGCCCTTCTTGTTGCACTTGTTGGGACAGGTGCAAAGGGGCTGGCATGGGGCACACTGACGCAAGTCATATCTGAATGGAGAACCGTGGCTTGCGATTGAGTGGTCCTTGAAGAGGGGCTTTGGACAGAGAAGATGCATGCATGGTTGTTGTTGGGAAACATATTGCATTTTTGCTTATTGTGGTTTAGTGGGAAGTCCCCACTTAGCTGCTAAACTTTGACCTTTCGCTCCCCTTCCAACGTCAACCAAGCATGGATGCCTATGCGGAAACCTATCCGCTCGCTTGATACGGCGGGACCCCGCATGAAACGACGAGAAGTCCACAAGAGTGGCTGGGGCGTTTTTGTTTTTTGTTTTTTCTTCGGGTTGGGTTTGACAGCCGGAGTCGTTCGGGAGCTACAAACAAAGTGGGCCCCTTTTTCACGAGATTTCCCTAAGGTTTCCGTTGGTGGGGGAAATTTGTGCATCATTTTGTTGTACGGGCAAAAGTCTTCATTTTTTTTTGGGGGGATGGGGAGTTTCCCAACTTTTTTAAATGAGATTTCTCTCCCAAAGTTTCCTTTTGTAGGTACATGTGCCTCAAATATTGTATGACAGGTGCAGTGTTCATTTTGGGGGATGGGGGATGGGGATGAAACACGCCCGGAGGGAGCTTGCCAGGATCTTTGATCTTCCAGGAAGGGAAATGCATCGAGGGCGATTACTACATCGCCGCATCCTCAGCATGTTGCATAGTTCATCCTGCAGATTGCACGGGTAGCGCAACTCCTCATTTCTAGTGAAAAACCTCCCAAAACAGGGACCACCCTTGAAAAAAGGGAGTATGCAAACAGCATCCGCCCCGAATGTCCTTCAAGATGCGTAGTGGTTCAAGCTTTCACCTTGGTGGAGCTCAGCCCCCGATGCAAATTACTTGGCCGCTCGTGAATCAAAGCATGCCCTTCATCCATGTGTGTCTATGTGTATGTGCGTGTGCACGTGTCGGTCCATGTGTGCCTGTGCGTGGGGGTCTCTGTGTCTGTGTGTGTGTGTGTTTGTGTGTGTGTCTCTGTGTTTTGTTTTTTTTTTTGTGTGTGTGTGTGTTTGTTTGTTTGTTTGTTTGTTTGTTTGTTTGTTTGCTTGTGTTTTTAGTTGTTTCAGGGGAGCCCCAAAAATGGCTATGCTTTCCTAAACAAGAGCAACCAACAAGGGGTACCGTCAAACAAACCACACCCATATGATTGCACCTACCGGTAGTATTTGGGCTTCCGGCCTAGTGCATCACATCTAATGCAGCAGTGGAGCAAGCTCCTTAAATTTCCCTTTCGCATATCGATCTTGGCATAGGTGTCCTTTTTGGTTGTTTTGCTAGAAACATAGATGCGGATTTGGTTTAATCATCTACCAGGGCCATCTATTTCCCCTAAAAGGACACCTATGGATCTTGGCATCTTGGCGCCAGACTTCCAAAGTCCTTTGGCACGTGCAGCGTGTCCGCCCAATGTCTTCAGGTTGCAGTGTACGATGACCCGGCCACGTGCACCATCTCGCCCCTTTGCAGAGTGCCAAAGGGTTCGGCGCAACGACCCTCCCTCCGGCTAGCACCTGACAGGGGGCTGTGGGTCAAAATTAAAAATGAGGGGTTACGCAGGTGTTGGTCCATGTTTCCACTTACCAGGCTTCCATCTTGGTACCGGTTTTTGAGCCACAGCTAGGGGTCCCTTCAAGATGAGATTTGATGAAGTTGATCTTTTCAGCAACGACCCCCCCCCCCCCCGGCACAGATGCTAGAGCAAACGTGGCGAAGGGTAGGGCAACTTGGTGTTTCTCTCCCTTGCCAATGTCGATGCAATTGGGGACTGCTGGTGCTTCAGCAGATCACTGAGCTACGGTGGATGCCCCCATGTTTTTGGGGGGAAAGGGAACAAGATGGACCAATCTGCAATGGTTTCAAAGGCGAGTGCTACTTGGTCACTTTCTTTTGCACGGACAAAGGCGCCTTGCAAGAGGATGTCGGGGAATCCCTTCTCCCCAATGCTAAACGTTCCCGGGAGCTCGGGAACAGGGGGCCCCAATGCTAAAATCGGTTTTTCCCGGGGGACCCACTTAGTATTAAGGAGGGGGGCGTTTAGCATTAGGGGGAAGGCATGGTTGTTGGTGGGAAACTCTTTACATTTTTGCTTATTGTGGTTTAGCGGATCCCCATTTAGCTTCTAAAATTTAATGTCTTGCTCCCCTTCCAACGTCAACCAAGAAGGGATTATTCAAAATTGCCCTCTGTCTGCCGAGGTTCTCCGCTTACGAGCTGGAGAATGACTGCACCTATACCTACCCGCTCACCTACAGCCAGTTCGACGCCCTCTTCCAGTATGACTCCGAGCTGATGAATCCCTCCAATCAGGATGGCCGTCACCTGGCGGGATGAGTCACAGCCCCCCATGAACCCCCTGCGATGTGAGGAACGCCTTAAACGGCCATCTTTTAGTTGAGTGTGGGAAGGGAACAGGCAACCACACAAACTTGCATATATATATAATATTATATATGCAAATATATCATGCTCAGCACGTTTGCCCCCCCCCCAAGTCGAGAAGACACTTTGACCTGGAAGCCTCTCAGCAAAATTGGGCACCGCGCTTTCCTGGTAGCCATTGTCTCAATTTTAAGGCATGGTACCCTGGGAATGCGTGTCCAGGCCCTCTTTCTCTATAAATGTCGATCGATACTTACCGAATTTGATAGAATATGCAAAATGCATATATATATATATATATATATATGTATACACGTATACATCAATATGTCAAGTTGAGTTTCCAAGAGCCTCGATTCGATTTTTCAGCCTTGGCGCCAAGCGCGCCCGTAGCAACATGCTGTCACTTGCCAGATCAGGGTGTGTCTTTTTATGGGTTGGGCCAGTGAAAATGGCGATGTTCAGCTTGGTTTCCCTTCAGTGCCACAAACAAGGTACCCTTAAACAAAGGAACGCCCATTTGTAAAGCCATTGGCTGCTCTATAGCATGTTGTCGGTGCTGACGTGATCTGGCTTTGCTTTGAATCCGACTGTCTTGACTTCTGAATGGAGTTGCGCACAACTACGTGCCCAGCCTACCGCCTACAGCCAGTTGCCGAGCGCCCGCCCTGTGGACACGAGGCTTCCACTGGGTCATCGAACGGCTGGACTTTGTACAGGACAAGCGGGGCCAGAAGGTCCTGTGCTTGGGCGAGGAGGCGCCGTTGGGTCGGTTTTCGGCTGTGGTGTGCGGGGTGTTTCTTTTCGTTGTTGTTTGCATTTTCGCATTTTTACGACTGACCTTGGCAGTTGGCAGAGTTGCAGTGATGTCAGGTTTGTTGCCGGTTGCCGCTGGTGGGTCCATTTGCTAGTTCAGGGTGCGTGTTGATAGGCGGCTTGATGATTTGTTCATCCGCTGAAGGCAGGGTTGGCCATTGTTGAAGCTGTTCTGACGTGACGGAGGTTGAGGCAGGGCTCCGGTCAGATGTCAACGTGTAGGTGGCGAGCTTTCGCTGGGCGACTGGCTTCCCGAAGCCGCCAGGCCACTGCGGAGGTGGATGATGAGGGGGACTTGGTGCAAGAGAAGCCGCTCCTTGCCGGAGCTTTCGGGCTTTCGGGGATGTGAGTCGCAGGTTTTCCCAAAGTCCAGTCGAGGCATGACCCAGTGGATCCCAGAAGTACCGCTATAGAAGGCTAGGTCCCCCAGAAGTGCCCTTTCTACCCTTTTTGGGGGAGGGCTCCCTACTAAAATAGACTACAGAAAAGAGGGTACCCTTATTCTAACCTCTCTACTGGAGGACCTAGCAGTGGATCTCTGAAGTACCGCTATAGAAGGCAACCCCTCGCATTTCCGATAGGTTTTTGATTTTGGTGGTTATGTACTACACAGGGAAATGGAATCACTGGGTGAGTCAAAGGACCACACCATAACGTATGTTTGTGCTATTCGGAGATCCCGTTCGGGGGCAGCACAGCCACGACATGAACCCTGAAGACAACGCACAGTCTTGACCGTGACGCAGGAGCCTTATGCCCGGTGAATATCTCGATTTCCGTTTAGCTTCTTTTTGCAAAAGCTAAAGCCAGCTGCCATGTTCAACACCAAACAATGGGGGTCCAAGCTTGAAACAGACGAGCCACCCATGTTGCAATAAGTTCTCAAAGGGCTTGAGGCACCATTGCAGGGAACATGCCGCGCATGACGCTTGCCGAGGAAAGCCACCTCGGCGGTTCCAGCCAACGTCGGAGGCGGCGGCCGTTGTTTTGTTTTTCTTGGGCGGGTGGTGTTCCAAGGGCGTCTTTTTTGGCAGACCTATGCTTAAGGGTGCACGGTTGGTTTTCGGCCATCTGTAAGCTTGTTGACTTGAGTCCATCCCTGGCGCCTTGTTAGGATGAGCCTGTCAGAATTCCTTGGATGGCAGAAGGTGCGATGGGGCCTTGCGGTTTATACAATCCCTGCGCGACCAGCGCTGGCACCAGCGACCAGCGCCGGGAACGGAAACCAGCTTGAAACACGCCTGCAGAAGGCCCCCCAAAGCGTGCGAAACAACAAAAAGATATGGGAACTCCCATCTTATTGTCCTTGGTGGCCTTTTTGGGGCCCAAAAAACTCAAACCTAGAATCCATGAAGATTCCAATTCTTGTCCTTGGTCCCTGCTTGGTCGCCTTTTTTGAATCCATACAACAAATCCAATGCGTGTCCTTGGTTGCCTTTTTGGCCCTAAGAAAGCGAGGCAAGATCGACGGTGCCACGCGGGCGAAGCTGCTGAAGGAGCTGGACACGCAGGATGATGCCAAGCTCCACGCAGCCCTGGTGCCTTGGATCGAGTACCCGGGGTGGCAAAAATATCTGAGGAAAATGCGGATGGTTACCTATAGGGGGAACTGGGATCCACAGGGTGGGGGAGGGAAGCTTCAGGGGGCCTTGCAACCAGCAAATTTCACAGGGCTCCCTAAAAGATCTCCATTTTGCAACCATTTGAAACATGGCTTTTTCCACCAACATAAAGGGAAACCACCATTTACAAGGCAATGTTCAGGTGTATAATGTAAGGATCCCTGTTCTGGCGCCTGGAAAATGGGATCGGGGCATCTAAGTAGAACGAATGCCTGGTGTTTGTGTTTGTTTTTGAGGGCGTCCAATTCCTTTTGAGGGTTCAGGCCACTCTAGAGGAACACCCCCACCCCCTGTTAGAAGATGTTTCCCAGTGGGTCCACTTCCGTGCAAAGCAGGTAAACAGGAGAACCACCCTTCAAAAACCAGCAGAAAAAATGCAGGTTGCCTACTTTACCTACTACACTGGGAAGTGGGATCCAGGAATCTGGGGTCAACAAAGGGCAAATGTGAAACAGCGAAACGCCTCTAAACCAATCCAAACCACCCATCAAAGGGAGGCTGGCCTACGGAAAGCCTCGGGATGTTTTTTGTTTCTTTCTTTTTTTGGGGAGGTGTTTGGTTTTTCAATGTGTTCCGCCTGCTTTAAAATAAAGGGAAATCATAGAACCTTGTTTGGGTTGGTTTGAAAGTGGCAAGGGGCGCCTAAACTCTTGGACTCTTGGCACATGCTTGACACGTTTGATGACCTCACCATTGGCAACCCTGTTAGCATCCAAGTGGCCTGTCTTCTACTTCCTTCACTTTCACGCCTCGGTTTTTGGGTTTTTGCAGGGTACACTTCTCCGCTGGCTTTTCAGGAGAACCAGCAGAACATGGGGGGATTTGTCCCCCACATTTCTTTACAATATATAGATATCTTGTATTCATATATATATATACACACATACACGCATATATGTAGCAGACAGATTGCCCACACCTTCAGGTGAAGAGTGAGGGTGCGCGGAAGCGCTTCATCGCGGAGCTGCATGCGAAGCGGAACTTGGAGCAGCTGAAGGAGCGAGTGCTTTGCGCGAGTCGCATCCCGAGAGAAGCACGTGGTTGGTGGTTTCTTCAAGAAGTGGAAATAGGATGCCTACCAGGCCCCCCAATGCCTGGCAAATGGCCTCGCAACCTAGCAACCAAATTGATAGCCGTTGGGGGCGGCGGGTGGGGCCTGGTATTTGGCTTCTTTGTGCAGGTCACGGGCAAAAAGTGTCAGTTTCAGTTTGCGTGGATATGCGTGGATGTGTCCTTGACCGTTTTCTGATCGTCTCAGCGGGTTAGAGTGCTGAATAGGAGTCCCACTTTTTGCATGCCCACTGCGCAATGGCCAAATGGATGCCATGTCCTCGTTTTGCAACAACACGACGCGCTGTTGAGAAGAATTGAAGCTGAGACGGTTTTTCGAACTCGCGGAAAGACTTGAAGAGCGGGAAAGCCACGCGATGCAGTTCGAACGGAGTACCAATCCGCAAAGCTTGCTGTTGATTGGATATGACCAGCATCTCAATTGAGATTCCAACGGGGTATCCGCTGATTCATGAATGCGATAGGCAATCGTCAGGCCACAAGCTCCCGAAAGCAATATACACTTTCTCAAAATGCCATGTGCGGCTCCGTGGCACGCCGAAAAGGCTTGCCCGAAAGTGAGTTCCCTTTTTGCTATGCTTTTGCAACAACTGATCCGGAGACTTCCATTGGCTCAAGAACATGTTTGTATTTTCCCTTGTTTGGCTTTAAAGGGAAGTTATCAATATATATATATATATATATCCATGGTTGTTTGTTCTCCTTGTTTGGCCTTAAAGGGATTTGATCAGTACTGGCAATATGTTCTCTCCTTTTTTATCACTTACTGGCTTTATCACTGCTCGTTTCAACGGGAGTTGGTCACTACTGACAACATGTGTTCTCCCTTTTTCCTGGGGGAAGGGTCATGGAGACTCCAGGTATGTTTGTAGTTTCCCTTGTTTGGCTTTTTTCAGGGAATTGATCACTCCTGGCCATGTACTCTCTATTTTTGTTCAATCACTGCGAGGATCGAGGGCCGGTGCGTTCGCGTTCTGCCAGGCCTCGCAGCGCCTGCAGAAGGCGGATGAGGATCGCGAGGCCCGGCTCGCCAGGCGCGGCATTCGCTTGCATACTCGTCGAACAACTCGAAAAGCTTCGTCGCTGGGGGTGCGGGGGTTCGGTGAAACCAGTTCTAGAAAGCGGTTTGGACCCGCTCTTGCTGGTTTTCACCTGTTTTTTGCCCGTACTTTTGTTCATTCATTCTACGGCGGTGGATCCACAAAAGCAAGCTTCAAACCTTTTTCTAGATAATCTGGTAGCCGGTATTAGGCAGAAGGCCTGGACTTTAGTCACTTTTTGGGAGGACCATTTCAGTGGTTAATAGAATATTTTTGGATTTAGATGTTTTTGGCCACTGGGGAAGTGAGACCAGGGCGTCGCAGTTTTGAATTTTGAAGCTTCCATCTCAAAAGCTGGCCTCGAGGAGCGCTTGAGGTTTGTACCTCGTTTATTTGGGACATGGGGGACCATGGGCCCCTCGAAACCCCACAAACCCGTCTGACTCGCTTCCCAGCAGTCTGGTGGTGTAACTGGAGGTTTTCAACGAAGCTTTCTCAGCGGAGCACGACGGCTCTATGACGGGCCCTGGCCCTTGGGTATGTTTATGCTTGTCATTGACTTGGATCGGTCGGTTGGCAGTTTGGGGGTCAAGTTGCGTACACTTGGCTGAAGAGGAGCTATGATGGGTTGTGTTGCCGCCAACGCTTTTGACTACCCGAGTTTCAGGCTATTGTGTGCTTGACACATGTTTTAAAACCGCGGTTTGGGCAATGGCTGAGAACTTGTTACTCCAGCCATGCCCAATTTCGCATCCTCCCGTGGTGTTTTTCAGATGACCCACCAGGTTGAGGGCAGAATGTGGCTTTGCCGTTTAGCTATCCTCTTGAAAGGGGTGTTTTTCTTTGCAGCATTCTGATCTATATGCTATTCGTATGTATGCAGGCAGATATGCACTTGACTATATGCACATACATTGTCTATGCTGTCAAGCCCCGCTCAAATCACGGGAGGATGGGCAGTGCATTTCTCTTTGCTTCCCCCACTGGGCCGCCGATCAAAATCCATTGCTTTGAACATAACTCACGTGGCTTTGGCTGAACCAGTGCCTCATGCAAACCCATATCCTTCCGTAGCCTTCGGCCGAGCCGCAGTGATCGTTCCTTGTGCGCGGTTTGAGTCACTGAGTGCAACCATCTAGTGCCAAAAAAAAAACGGCGGGAAACCTGGAATCCAGCCTCACATTTGGAGAGGCTGGAGCTGATCAAGAAGCAGCAGCACCAGCGGGCGGAGGCCCACAAGGCGGCCGAGGAGGCGAAGAAGAGCACCATGGCCCAGCTCGAGGCGCGCCGCTCGCGGCGTTTCCGCGAGCAGCGGAGGGGCGAGCGGAGGGGTGAGCCGATGGCAAGGGACAGCCAAGCAGCCGTTCCGGCAACTGTTTCTTTGTTGCATTTTGCCAAGGGGTGTCAGGACTTTAACTTTTTGCAAACTCATGGGTTTTCCGTATTAAAACCACTAAAAGGTTTAGGCTTTTAGCACGGGAGCAGAAAGCAACCAGGGAACTTGTTTCCAGAAAAAAAAAGAAAAACATAGTTTTTTTGGTCTGGGGTATGATTTGTTTTGCAGTTTTGTTGGGTCTCTTGGTTGTTGGGAACCTGCGCTATAACACGCTATGGAGCCAACCAATTCTAGGAAATGGGGTTTCGTTTGGCGCCGAGTGGTTGCGAAGGGGCCCATTCGCCCTTTAAAGGGGTTACACACCTCCTTGCTGGAAGGGCATGAAGAGAGTTCTTCGCGCACCTCCGCTGCCTGCCCTCAACCTGAGTGCCATTGGTACTGCGTTTGGATCCAGTGGCTTGCTGTGGCTTCTAGTTTGAAGCAGTACCCCCTCCCTCTTAAAAATGGAATTGGTCGGGGGGTGACCCCTGGAGTTCCCATTTGTGGTTCCATTTTCCCTTTCGTGGGGAAGACTACAAAAATGGAATTGGGGACCCCCCACCCCCCTCCTCCTGAAGGTAGGGGGGATGAAGCAGTCCATAGGATTTCTTGGACCCAAGGCCATGCTCCCAACAGACATTCCCAGTTTTAGTGGGGCAACCTCACGGCAGATTGGGTTCTGAGATGAGCTCGAAGTGCAGCTTGAAACCGGCGAGGTTTCAGGAAACCGCCATGGATTTGTTTCTTTGCTTCAGGGGGGGACCTTTGCCTTTGCCTTTGCGATAGCGCGCAGTGTCTGTTCGACGCAGCGATTTATTGGGGAGGGGGAAAGAAGGAGACGGCCCCAAAAACAAACAAGTCAGGGGGAGGCCCCTGAATTGCTGGTTTGGATTGGCTTGGAGGTTTCAACCCCAGTTCCCCTTGAAGCATGCGAAAGAATTGCCCCCATGCGTCCAAACCAGGCTCCAAATCGATTGGGGGTAGGGTGACTTTGAACCACATGGAATTTCATGGGCGTTGTTTTTTGAGCAACCTCTTTGCTCAAGTTCCCCTAAATTGGTGGTTTGGATTTGGTTTGGGGATTGGAACCCCTGGTTCTAGAGGGTTTGCATGGGAAAACCCTTCCATTTCACCCATCCAAATTCCCGGGCTCCAAACCACCAGGAGGGAAGCTGGTTTGTGGCTTGCCCGCCATGGGAACTTAAGAGGCCCAGGGACTTGCCCTACTGTCCCCGAAAGAGGGGGTGATGGGATTCCTTGCTGGTGAGGGAATGAGAAAAATTCCCCGATTTGGTATCTAAGGGACGCCCGGACACGCTGTCATTGCCTATCAGGGTTGTGGGATCAGATGATGACTCGGGGTTTATCCAACCACTTCTGTGCTACAAGGTCATTGCCTACCTATCAGGGTTGTGGGATCACTAGGGAATCGTCTCTTTATGTGGGGGATAAACAAGTCTTTGGGGTTCGGCCCTTTTTGTTGTATCAATGAAGCGGTCAGCTTCTATTTCAGCAGCGATCGCAAGACTCGGAGTCGGGAGTCGGAGTCGGGAGTCGGATGGCAGGTCCTGATGAAGCAGAAGGAGGCGCAGGCGATCCGTAGGTTGATCCAAGAGAAGGACGCCCAGGATCGCGGCATGGGGCGAGAGCCTCTCGGCAGATATGTGGGTTTGGCGGAAGGAGGGGAGATGGTGTGGAGATGAATTTGGGGTTGGGTTGAGCCTCTCGGCGGTTTGGATGCTGACTTGGAGTTGGGTATGGGTCAAAATTAAGCCAGGACATGCACCGCAGGTTGAATCGTCCTTGTTTTCATTTACCAGGGCAACCCATTCTGGGTACTTATGTTTGACGTCGCCCATTTGAAGCCCTGCATCTTGATGGATGGGCACCCACCCCGGAACCAAACCTCCAATATGAAGTTGAGGAGGTGGGAGAGAGGGGGGATGTGGGAGGGACTTCGTAGATTTCAATCCATGTGCGGAGATGCGGACAAGAGACAAGCCGGGTGGCTGGGGGCAGGCAGCAAATGGACATGTTTGCTGAAAGGGACTGACCTTTTTCCTGGTGTTTTCGATTTGACAGGTTTTGTTCTCCAGTTGGCAAGCTACACTTTGCAGCAGCGGACTTTAGATTGAACTTGAGGGGTGCTGACATGCGATCTGAAGGCCAGCCTTATGAGGCCATGGTCAGAAGTCAAAGATTCACCCTCTCTTCCACGTTGCCATGGCACCTCAGAAATTTCCTCCAAGAGGAATCTGGTTTTCCAGCTGCCCTTCCAGATCCATTTCCCCGGTTTTGTATGTAACTCACTTGAAAGCCAACAAGGGAACAGTTGCTTAATCATGGACCCCCCAAGGAAGGGCGCTATGGAGCAGGGTGGCAAAATGAGAACATAGGTCCAGTGGTGACAGATCGTTTCCCTTGAGAACCAAGTTTCGTTCGCCCCTGCGAATCACGCATGTTTCCAGTCGGATGGATTCCCTTCCAAAACCAACAAGGGGGAATCTATCACCACTGGAAATATAATGAAATATTTGCAAATGCATATATATATATATGCATTGTTTTCTTCGAGGGCCTGAACCAAAAAGCTCAACGGAGGCTTTTTTTCCTTTTGCTTTTTCACTACGAAGCAAGTGATTTTTTCCAGAGGGCAGACAAGCATATATATATATATATATATATATTTAAAAACCATGGAAGGCCTTCCTTTCTTGGCATCTGAGGAAAAGAAAAAATAATAAAATTAACAAAAACAAGAAAGAACTCAATTCAATGGAGGCCCGGTTTTTTTCCCTTTCACCCCATCCTAAGGAAGGACGCGGCCCGGCAGCGGCGCAAGATGCAAGAGCGCTCGGCCGCGGAGGTCTGGGCCATCGAGGAGGAGCGCGCCCTACAGCCCCTTGACGCAAAGCGAACGCCCGATCGCCTGGACCGGGGGAAGAGGGGGGGGCCTGGGGACTCTTGTTTTTTTTTGGGGGGGGGCTGTGTCCATTTTTATATATATATATATACATATATACACTATTGTCACTATTGGTTTTGATTTTTTAGGCTTCACTCTTATTGGCCGAATTGATTGCTTTGTTGTTGTTTTTTTTTGGGGGGGAGGGGGGGAGGCACAGTTCTTGTTGGCAATCATACCACGGGTTGTGAGTTTTGACGGCTGCGCGATAAGCGGCTGGTGAGGCTTTCCGGGTTTCACGCCGAACGACGGAAGGGACCCCCGTGGAAGGGACCCCGTGACTTGGCCAGGCTGGCGCGGAAGCGCGACGAGCAGGCGCGGGAGGTGTTTCTGCTGAGGCGCTTCCGTTTGCTGAAATGGAGACTTGTTACTTTTTGCTGGTGGTTCTAAAAGGAATCCATGACTACTGGACACATTTTCTCATGTTTTCAGGGGCCTTACGCAATTGCACTGGGACTGGTGATGAATTTGGGGATGCTACATGGACCTCTTTCCTCGCGCCCGGGCTTCGACACTACCTGAGGGGCCTGATCTGGAATGGAAATTGGAGACGTGCACTTGAGATTGACGCCGAGGTTGAAAAGCGAAAGGCGCTGTTCCTGAAGAAGAACCGCGGAGCTGACCAGTTTGGACCAGAGCAGTTGGCTGTGGGTCGAAAAATGCGGGCAACCCCCAAAATGGCTTGCCCTGGGACTGGAGACATGGGACGGTTCAACCTGCGGTCCCATATCCTGGTGGTTGAACTTTTTGACCCATACCCAGCTCACGGAAAACGATTCGCAGGTTGAAGGGCTGGGACCTGAAGCGAAGCATCAGAGACTTGGAGCGGAGATGGCCGCGGTTGATCGAGGAATTGTTTAAAGAAGGAGTTGCGACCATTGAGGAACATGAAATCCGCAGGGTCCTGCTTGTATACACTTATAGAGAAAGATTCCTTCCAAACAAGGCTCTGCTCTTTGTGTTGGATACTCGATGGTGTGGCTTCGCCAGGGCATATTGCCGAGATCCTGCGCGAAGAGAAGATGAGGGAGCGAGAATATCAGGCGGCCGCGGTGGCGGGTAAGAGGCGTCCGCCAGGATTTGGGCTGTTTCTCAAATTGGTGGACTGCAGGGTTGGGGGATCAAGGGGGATCTCTCCTTTATATGGTAGTCTTTGGGATGCTTTTTTGTTGTATCACAGAAGTGGTCATTTCCACAGCCCTGGTGGACCCTGTTTGGGGTGGTTTCAAAAATGGAAACCAGCAGGAAACAGGTCATGGTTGGGCTTGCTGATTTGCAGAAACGCCCACTTGGGTTCTTGATTTGCGTGCATTGACTTGGAGCTGGTACCCTTTCTGCGTCCATCGGGTTTCCAGGAAGAAACGCAACCCAGATGCGGCGCCACTTGGAACAACACTTGTTGGAGACACCGGAGAGCAGCTCGGTTGGCGTGTCTTTTTTTTGACAATGTGTTTATTGGTCCCTTTGGCCTTTGGAGCATCAAAGACTCGAAGTTCCCTGTCCGAGCGTTTGGGTGTCCTGTTTCCTTTTCTTTTTAGCTCAAAGTATTCCTGGGGGCCAAACATCTCGGGTTGGGCGGTAAATTCCATAGCAAGAGCATCATTGCGGCGAGCTCCTTTTGGGTCATATCAGAAACCCCAAGTCTTTTTTTGTGGATTGATCTTTCAACAATTGCCACTTTCACTAGTGCCCTTTTGCCCTTTTTCGGGGGGAGGGTTCCCCTACTAAAAGAGACTACGGAAAAAGGGTACCCTTCTTCTAACCTCTCCACTGGAGGACCTGGTTCAGGTCGATTTGACCTCATTGGTACCTGTTGCCGTTGCTCAGTGTGCAGGCGTTCACCCGTACACTTCCCATTCCGTTTTGATATCCTTCTCTTCAGAAAACTGCAAATCGGAACATGTGAAGAGAACGATGGGTAAAAAGTGACTAATTCTGTAGGTACTCAAGCCACGCATTGTTACTCGAAAAGCGGCGTTCATGACTACGCGACAATACCCACGTGGGCGCGAGCCAGGGTTCTGGGGCGTTTTTGGCCACCAGGTGAGGTTGCGAGAGGAGAAGGACCTGATTATCCAGGAGGCCACGTCCGGTGAAGTGATTTTCCCTCCGGCAAGGCTGCCACCCATCGCAAGAGTATCTTAAACAGACATAGGAGCTGTTATTCTTCCCCATCATCTCCTTCAGTGGAGCGCATAAGACTTGGCTGCAACAAAAGACAGTTGGGCTCTGATCATGGTTGTTGTTGGGAAACAGTTGAAACCATTTTTGCTTATTGTGGTTTAGTGGTTGAAATCCAAATCCACTCAACTGCTAAAAAATGATATTTGTTGCTTTCCTTCCAACGTCAACCAAGTGATGCCCATTGCCTGGGCTCAGAGTCCTTGTACCTCTTCTGGTTGAAGTCCAACTGGAATGAGTGAAAGGATTCTTGGCGATGTGCACCATGGGAGCTTCTAGGTCCCCCAGTAGTGCCCTTTGACCGTTCTTTTTTGGTTGGGGGGGTCCCCCAGTAGTGCCCTTGCACACCCTTTTTTGGTTGGGAGAGTTTCCCTAAAATAGTCTACAGAAAAAAGTTGGTACCCTTATTCTAACCTCTCTACTGGAGGACCTAGGCTTGCTTCTTTAACGCTAATTGACAACAGGTTGGACATGGTCGGTGTCCCATTTCGGATCAATCCAGGTGACCGCACTGACCATCTAAAATGCGTTGAAATGAGCCCCTGCAAGGAACACATGTCTTCCATTTGCTGAAATGAATATGATGATATTTTCCCCTGTTGGATTTGTTCTCTTTCTTCCAAGGCTCTAAAAGCAAATGGACGATGTCCTTAATCTGAAGGGGTCAATTCGAGTCCAGAGTGGTGCATGTTTGATCGGGAGGAAAGGCTTGTCGGCGGAGACTTGGACCTGTCGTTTTTGGAGTTGGTACGCCTTTTTGCATGGGTATTGAAGGGAACCCAAATGAACATCAGCTGGCTGGAGGGATCGACCCGGATTTGAGGACAAGCCCATTTCTTGTTTCCATGTTACATGTGGGCTTTCCTCATCATGAGTTGCACAAGCTAGTGTCGGGCGCTTCTAAGACTTGGCCCGCTCTTGTTTCGTTTTTGTTTTGGCAGGGGAACCACGGAGCACAACATTTTTTCTTGGTCCCCTGTTACTTCTGTCCTACCCCCCACAACAGAGCACAAACTGTGGTGTTTTTTTTGCTTGGCTTTTGGAGCCAACCCAGGCTAGCCGGGTAGCGCGGATCAGAGCTGTTTTTCAGATTGGGTGGTTTCTTTGGGTTCCAATTTCCTGGGGTTTCCCATCCCATCCAATTTATCGTGAATTATGACAACATCACACGACCGAATTCACCCCAAATGGTGGTTCATGTGGGGAATAGCCCCCCCCACCTTATTGCAGGTTTGTGAAATGGTATAATTCACCCAGATGTGTTCGGCGGGTGATGCGCGGCGGGCGTTTTTTTCTTGGGGGGGTTCGCGACTGGGGGAGGGCGCGTGGTTTTTTGCTGCTTCTTTTTTTGAGGAGCCCAGATGGGTTGCAAAAGGAGTTGGCTTGGCTTCTCCTGTAATTCACCCAGATTTATGGGTAGGGTGGATGTTCCCATGACAGCAGCCACGCCCATCGGGGACCATGATCGGTAAGTCTCATTTCCAACCGACCGGTTTGGGGGTTTCTCTGTTTTTGTTCCATGTCTAGGAAAAGGGTCCCAAATTGGTGAACCTTCTTTATTTTCAGGCTGACAGGTTGGTGGGGGCCCCTCCAAAAGTGGTCTGAACCCTCACTCGCCACCAGGGACGCCCCCTCCGATTCATAAACTGAATTAATATGGGGACTATGGGGGGACTTTCAGTGGGATGCGTGCGGAAAGTGCTTCAAGAATTTCGGGCAGTTCCTTCCCTTGGCCTTAGGCCCCCACCCCCCCTTTCAGCCCCTTTCGGCGTTTCGCCTCTGGAAAGGTCTGGAAGACAAAGGCGCAGGAGCGCGTCGCCCATGAAGAGAAGCAGCGGGAGTTCGAGCGCCTCGAGGATCGAAGCGGCGGAGAGAAAAAACAAACGCCCACGGAAAACGCGCCCCCCCGAGGAAAAAGAAAAAAACAACGAGCCAGGGCCATTTTCTGAGGGTGCCGTCCAGTTCCATTCTGCCCACCTAGAGTCTCCCTAAGGACCCTTTGAAAATGGTTGGTCATGACCCAAAATCATTGGGTCATTGACCCATTTTTACAGGGTCATGGAGACTCCGGGCAGATCCTTCTTTCTAGAAAACCTCTGGAAACCCGGGGAAAACGGCTGGTTGTTGAAAAGAACGATGGTTGAAAAGAATGGGGAATCAGCCCCTAGACATTTGGGTATGAGTCAAAATGAGGATATGGACCGCAGATGTTACCTGCTGCCCCCAAAACTGTTGAATTTGATCGATTTTCAGGAAAATGATTGTTTTGCCTTCTTGGTGTTGAAATTTCAACACTGGTGCTACAAAAAACGTTCGGGCTTGCGGAGCAGACCGAACCTTATGTTGCTGATGTCGCTTGCTGGGAATCCGTCGATTGCGTTATTTTTGCATAATCCGTTGCATGTTTACGTTCTTTTTGCGTCATGACATGGGCCGTGCCTAGGATTTGGTGTTGGAAATACCGTTCGTAAAGCGTTCAAAACCCGTTCGCGAACCGTTCGCGAACCGTTCGCATGTCGTACATTTTACGTAAAACTAACAATCGGTGTTGCGAAATCACCTTGGTGTTCCAAAAGCCGTTCTGGTGCTAAAAATCCGTGCTGAGAAAAAACACAAAAAAAAACATTTTAGGGGCCTCAGGTAGTCCTTGGTTCCATTTGGTTCCATCTTGGGTACCCATTTTTGACCCGCAGCCATTTGGGGGTTGATCGATACTCCATGTAGGGCCCCAAGATGGCAACTTTGCCAATTTGGTGACAGTCATCTTGTTTGGTGGCTTCCCTAGGTTTTCTTTCCTTTTTTTTATGGAAAGGACCTTTTGATCAACCCCCATTTTCAGACTCACTCGCCCACCTTGGCGCGATAGGTAGGGAATGACCGAGTCAGGGTGTTGGGAATTTACCGGAAGGGAGTTCCTGAAGGTCCTGTGAAGGAAACCAAATCCGGGATGGTGTTGGTTTTTGGGGTTATTCCATGTCTCGACCAAAGAACAACCTTTTGGTTTCCCCAATTTGGTCAATCAAGGTTTCTCTGTTGGTTTCCTCAATTTGGTTTCCCCTTTGGGCGTTTGGGTTCCTTCTGGTCAAAGTTAGCCAACAGTTAGCCTTGTATTTCGTGATGGCCCACTCGGAACTGAGGCAAACCTGAGTGCCGAGCAAAACCTTGGAACTCCAGAGATCAAGACGCCAGTTGACTCACCCAGTTAAACAGTCAACCATACTAGGTCCCCCAGTATTGCCCTTTTACCCTTTTTTGGGGGAGGGTTCCCCCATGAAAATAGACTACAGAAATAAGGGTACCCTTATTCCAACCTCTCTACTGGAGGACCTAGCATAGATTTCTGTTCTTTTTGCTGCCTTTAATTTTGATTGATGACTCTGCTTCAGGATTTGCTTCGGTAGACTGGATGCGCTTGAAACTTGCCTTCTTTGGCTCGCATGCCATCAGCCGGCCGGCGCGTCTCTGAGGAGATCCGGGAGAAGGTCACCGTTGAGAGGGAGAAGCGAAGAGCCATGGACGAGCTGAAGCAAATCACCGCCATCCGTGGCGCGGCTCTTTTTTTGTCAAGGATGAACCTTTTTGGTGCGTCGCAGGGCCAAGGGTTTTGCATGAGCGCAAATAAGATGGCCCCTGACGACCATGTAAGGGCCAGCTTTTTTTGGTGCCAATACCTTTGCCTTTGCCTCTTAAGTTCTTCAGCAATTCTATGGGTGGATTTTTTCCCACGGCACTTCTTTCTTTTACACGCTAGGTCCCCCAGTAGTGCCCTTTTACCCTTTTAGTAGGGGAAGGTTCCCCTACTAAAATGGACTAAAACGAAAAAACATAGGGTACCAACTTATTCTAACCTCTCAAATCTGGAGGGCCTAGCTCACGTGTTCCAGCTCGGTTTTTCTGAGGCAAACGCTTCCTGCCGCCCGCCGGCCGCCCGGCTGAGGCAAGCACGCGGAGGAGGAGAAGGAGGCCACGGTGAAGCGCCGGGAGAAGCTCCGAAAGGCGGGGGTGGGGCGTGGGGGGGCGCAGTTTTTTTGAGTCGATCCCAAGACCTCAAACTTTGAGGCCCTGGGTCAACCTCATTTGGGTATGGGGCAGGGTCAAAACTCAGGCAAATACCCACATAACGTGGTTTGAGGGTATGACCTCAACAACGAACCTCACACGACCTCACCCCAAATGGTGGTTCATGTGGGGAATAGCCCCGGAACCGCTTTATGTCAGGTTGGTGAAACAGGACAATCCACCCAGGAAAGTTCGAATCCAAATGCTGAAAGAATGGGGTCGGGGGTATAAGAGAGATGGGGTCCCTCATTGGTGTCTTGGGTATGACCTCAATAATTTGGGTGTGGGAGTTATTTTGGTATGGGTATGGATCCCCCAGGATGTGGGCCGCAGGTTGTTTTTTAGTCCTTATTTCCATTTACCAGGCATATGGGGTTGCTTCCGTTTCCTTTTCTGTCCCCTGCTGGAAGCTATGGACTTGGTCTCCCAGATGGATTCGGTCCGGGGTGGTTTGGGCAGCTTTCAGAAGGGTTCAAAAGGAGATTCAGTTCCAGGGGTTTCCGGGGCTGTTGGGGCTTCCTCCTGGGCTTGTTGGCTACAGGTGTTCCATGAAAAATCTGAGGAACCAAAAAGAAGAGCGCCCTTTTGTTTGAATGGTCACTGGTTTGAGGTAGCCAATGTCTGAAGAGGAAAACGCGGATGGTTACCTATAGGGGGGACTGGGGTCCACTAAGAGGTGGGGGAGGGAAGCTTCAGGAGGGGGCCGCGCAACCAGCAAATTTCATGGCGCAAATAGCGCGGTTCCGCTGCGTAGTGACTTAGTGGGCTGCAGCAGTGCATTGGCAAAGGTTTGCCCAGCTTGGGGTTCGCATCAACTCGAGCTGCACCTTTGGTATTTGTACAGGCAAACAGTGGGTGGGGTCACAAGCGTTTGCAAAGGCTTGCGCGGTTCGCCAATGTTCGCTCAGGCCATTATACTGTACCCATAGTCCACTGCCACAACTATTCTTGCCCAAAATTAGGGCAGCATATGTCAGAAAGGGGTTGATTTCTTAACATGCTTGTTGTCCCCCCATTTCCATCTCACTTCCACGCTGGTGGCACGGCATCTCTGCAAAGTTGCCAAAGCTGGGCCCGCAAGTTTTCACCATCGCCGCTTCCCTCCCTCGAAAGTGTGCAATCCATGGCAAAAACGTCAGGAGTACCTGCTCGACCTCAAGGTGCAGGCCAGCAATAGGCAGGAGTTGGGAGCCGGGTGGATTTGCGACGTACGCTCTGGCTTGAGAGGAGCCATGTCAAGGTCGACAAACACATGCCACACATTTCACAAGTCGTATACAAAGCCGCAAGCGATGGGTTTGACGTGTTCCGCGCAGTCAGAGTACACTCCCTCCAAGATCCTCCAACTAACGTGGAAGCTTCCAAAAGGCCACTGCGTCCATGGAATTGGCCGGGGGGTACTCAGTATGACGCATGTCTTAAATCCATGGAATCACCTGGAGGGTACTCAGTATGGGACCCCTTTCTTTGATTTGGGTTCCCCGACTGTTCCCCGTGCGCTTCCGCGTTCATAGCTCTCAGGCCCTTGGGGGCTGTCGGCTGTCCGGTAACGCGAGAAAAAACCGCCAGGGCACAGACAGCCCGAGAGCAAGCGCGGCGCAACGAGCGGCGGGAGCAGAAGATTCAGGACAGAAGCGACAGGAATGAGAGCTGCGAATCTGTTTGCTTTCTGTAGAGCATGCCGACGGGAACAGAAGCGAAAAGAATGAAAGCTGTGTACTTCTTTGTTTTTCTGTGGGGCAGGTGGTCAGCATGTGTCGCATATCTTGGCGACAGGTGCAAGCGTCCAAGTGCGTTGGGTTTTAGACATAGGCCTAGCCTTGAAGCAGGCAGCTGGCTACAGAATCTCGCGGGTCACAAGCCTCACGTCTCATGTTTGCCATTTCTTCCTCCCAGAGTTGGGGCTCGTTGCAGGGAAGGGGCAGACAACAACCCAGACCCCTAGAGGGTCCAAGTACCTTGCTTGCACGGATGCGACATATTGTTTTGTGTGAGTGCATGCTCAGGTACTTGGACCCTTGGGGTGCAACAGGGTGTCCGGGCATCGTTGCAACTCACGAGGGGGTGTCATTCGGGGTATCATGCTTATTCATGCAACAGGTGGTGTGCAAATGCCCTCAGCCATTCTACCGAAACCATGATGTACTGTGGATGGACAAATTCCTGCACCACCTAAGAAACCCTGGCAGAATGATTTCCCCCGTTAAAATCACCAAACAATGGTTTCTCATGGTTTCAAAGCGGTGCGAACGGATTTCACAATCACTGTAGTTTCGGCCCGGTCAAGATATCATTGCTCCTGAGGGAGGCCTGCGAACTCTCGGCAGTTTCGCTTGCACTGAGCAACGGTCGAAATCCCTGCGGATGCGCGGCTACTTTCGTTTTGCTCTGAAGGTACCTGGAGTCTCCATGACCCTTTTAAATTGGAGTCATTACCCAAAATGAAGGGGTCATGCCCCCATTTTTAAAGTGTCATGGAGGCTCCAGGTAGTTGCATCCAGCTGCTTCCCATTGAGAACTTCTCACTGCTCCCTTCCGTTGTGTTCAGGTCATCGCTTGCTTGACCATAATTTATTCTCACACTGGGCTCATGAAAGTGGACAGGGTTTCTCAAAGTGACCTTCGCGCGGCCATTTTCTTTAGAGCCATCAGGGTGATTTGTGGAGGAATTGAAGTCAACGACCCCAGCCAACGACCCCAGCAATGAGATAAACAATAAGGGATCCAAGTCTCATTTGCTAAAAAGAAGGGATCCAATTTTCATGAGTTGAGAAAGGAAGGGATCCCAGGCACCCCAAAAATCCCCTCCTGAACCCTTCAGGAACGCGAGGAAGCTCGCCTGCGGCGCTTTCGGGAGTCTCAGTTCATGGACACCATGCGCGCCTTGGATGCGGATTCCTGCGGATCCCGGATGGATCGATTGCAGCGGTTGAGGAGAAACACGGGTTCTCCCACTGGCTGACATGAATATATATATATATACACGTTTTTTTTAGTTGCGAAGGGAATCCGTCACTACTGGAGGAAGATGTAGTTTTGTCCAAGGTTCTTTTTGAGCAAGTGGAAGGGTTTCGGCCCCTGAACCTTCCCTTCCCCGGGACGGCCGTTCCGGCACTTGCCGGAAAGTGGAATGCGAGAGGCTTCCTCTCATCTCTGGAAATTGGTATAGTATATGTTGGTCTTTCAAGCGCCCGCAAAAACACGGCCCTCCTTGGTTTTGCTTTTGGTTGAAGAACAAATCAGCCGAAGGCCTGCTTTTTCAGCGTCCTGGAAGATCAAGGGTAGTTTTCGGGTCCGTCAACTCGTTCTGAGGATGTCTCAGACCATTTGCGAGGACATCAGCCAAGACGTCTTTCAAAGCAAGCGTTCCCCTCGCAGAAGAAAAGAAACACTGCGGAAGCGCAGAGGCCCCTTTTGGCTTCGACTTTCTTCTTGGAAAGGGGGGTTGTTTGCACTTCCATATGGTGCGAGGGTGGACCTCCGCTATCAAGAATGGGCAAAGCAATGGGAATGGAGGCCTTCGCGGGAGTTGTTCATTGTCTGCTTCACTCTCTCAATGCGTTTCTAGGTCCCCCAGTAGTGCCCTTTTACCCTTTGTTGGGGGAAGGTTCCCCCACTAAAACAAACTAAAGAAAAAAAAAGGGTCCCCTTATTCTAACCTCCCTACTGGCGGACCTAGTTGCCTGCTTCACTCTTTCAATGCGTTTCTTTTTGTTGAGTAGTGCCCTTCTCTCTGCTTTTTTGGGGGAGGGTTCCCCTACTAAAATAAACTACAGAAAAAGAGGGTCCCCTTATTCTAACCTCCCTACTGGCAGACCTAGTTGCCTGCTTCACTCTTTCAATGCGTTTTTTTTTAGTAGTGCCCTTCTCTCTACTTTTTTGGGGGAGGGTTCCCCTACTAAAATAAACTACAGAAAAAGGGTTCCCTTATTCCAACCTCTCTACTGGCGGACCTAGTTGTCTGCTTCACTCTTTCAATGCGTTTCCTGTTTGCTGGTTTTCGTGTCTTTGACTCTTTGCTGCACGTGCCTTCGATTTTCCAAGGTGCCACGCGCAGCACCTTCAAGCCGGACTGATTCGATTCGGGGGGAAAGGGACGCTTCTGGGTCTCAGGAGATGTCAATTGGATTTTGAGGTTGGGTAAATATGCATGCACCACAAAGTAGATGTTCTGTGTCTCCTGGGCCACATGTTTGACACTGATCACCTTGGGCGGTCGCCCGATGTATGTGAGTGGAGCGTGCAGGGCTCGTTTTTGCGTAGCATGCCCCCAAGTTGGCCATTGAAAGGCCGGGTGCGTGTTTAGGCCTCCCAGTAGTGCCCTTTTACCCCTGTTTTTGGGGCAGGGTTCCCCTACTAAAATAGACAAACAAGAAACTAGCTGGTACCCTTATTCTAGCCTCTCGAATCTGGAGGACCTATGTTTTTTTTGGTTCATTTTTGTCCACGCGCCTTTTTTTCCAGCTCAGCTTGCGGAGTCCTCAGCTCCCCAAAGATCCCCCAGCAGGACGAGGGCCTTGAGGAGGGCAACGAAGGCCGGATGCAGGCTGGGTAGATCAGATGTCTCACTTCAGCTTGGTGCAACGGATGTTGGAAAACGCGCACAAAAACGTCAGCATCCACTATGGATGTTGTAAAGATTCTAGAAAGGTTGCTTGCAAGAAAGAAGGTTGCTTGCTGGGGGGGGGGGGGGTTCTGGAGTTTTGGTTGGTGAACAATCCGAAGCGTCGCCCATGTCGCGCAGACCACGCAAATGGGATCCACAGGAAAGGATGAGGCGGGGAGCGCTGGCTGGCAATAAAGAATGGAGACCACCGACCCCATTTAGCGAAGCAGCAAGTGGGGACGCTTCGCGTGTTCATTGATTGGTGGAGACGTCGATGGCTTGATTAATCCTGCACCAAAAAAACAGACCGTGGGGGCACGGGCGCATTTTGTCTTTGGTTTCCCACGGGAATTAACTCAGGTACCCAAAGTTGGTGCTTTGGGGATTTGAACCCTTGGTTCTTGCAGAGGAAAAATGAGAAATGCCTAGACGCTCAAACATCAACCCAAGCCACCGATTAGAGGAAAGCTGCACTTTGCATCTTCCGTGATAGGATTTCCGAAATTCTGGCTAGAACCTTGTTGGTTCAAAAATCCATGTCCCTTTGCGCCAAAACCGCTCAACCATCAATCCACATCACAAACTAGAGGGAAGCTGAATGAAGATACCCCCTCACACGCCTACAAATTAAAAGTGGAATCCCAGAAGTTGTCCTCTTTAGCGGAACCTCTGCTTTGGGGTTCAATGTTTGTAGGGGAGTAATTAGTGGTTTGTAGGAACCCTAGCCACTCGACATTCAATCCAAATCACCGAGAAGCTGAGTTGCCAGGGGCGCAAGACCGTGGAGGCAGACGAGCGCAGGAAGCGCCAGGCGGAAAGAGACGAGAAGCTGAAGAGGGAGGAGGAGAAGAAAGGCGCGGAGCTGCCACAAATGCAACATCTCTGGCTTGTTTGTTTGGTGTGTGTTCTTTTCTGTTGTGCGTTATTATGATTGCTTGTTTGTCTGTCTGTCTGTTTGTTTGTTTGTTTGTTTGTTTGTTTGTTTGTTTGTTGGTTATGTGCGTGTTTGTTTGTGTTTGTTTGTTTGTGTTGTTTGTTTCTTTATTGATGTGTTATTTATCTATTTCTTTATTTATTGATTCTGTCGTTTTCATGTCTTGTTTGTGTTTTCCTTTTATGTTGTTTTATTGTTTGTTTGTTGCTTCCTTGCTTGTTTGTTTGTTTGTTTGTGTGTTTGTTTGTGCGGTTTTTTTTGCTTTTAATATATATATATATATATATAATATGTGTTTCTTTCCTTTTTGTCTTTCTTTATTTCTTTCTTTCTTTCTTTATTTCTTTCTTTCTTCCTCTTTCTCTCTTTCTTCTGTCATTAATCTTTCTTTTTTTTTCTGTTGTTTCGTTTCCTTCTTTTTGGCTTCTTTCTTTGTTCATTTTTTCTGTCTCTTTGTCTCTCTTTTTTTCTTCTTTCTTTCTTTCTTTCTTTCTGTCTTTCTGTCTTTCTGTCTTTCTGTCTTTCTGTCTTTCTGTCTTTCTGTCTCTCTGTCTTTCTGTCTTTCTGTCCTTTTGACTTTCTGTCTTTCTGTCCTTCTGCTCTTCTGTCTTTCTTCTTTAAAACTACTTGTCCTGTTGTTTGTTTTCTCTTTTTTTTGATTGGTTTGTTTTGTTTGTCTGTTCGTTTGTCTGTTGGTTTGTTTGCGTGTCTGTTTGCTTGCTTGTTTGTCCGTCTGTCTATCTGTCTGTCTGTCTGTTTGTTTGTTTGTTTGTTTGTTTGTTTGTTTGTTTGTTTGGTGTCTGTTTTTTTTTCCTGCATGTCCCGTTCTTGTCGTGTGTTTGTCCCTCTCTTTGTGTGTTGCTTGTTTGTACATGTTTATGTTGTTGCTGTGTTTCGATTGTTGTTTCTACCGGACTCGTAGCTCCCGTGCACAATGCTCGGACAAATTCAGCCTGGTGGATTATAAAGGAGTTTCTCTAAATGCATGAAGGAATCAACGAGGGCGTTATTCATCCTGGGTTCTCAAAACATGTTTGTTGTTTTTTGTTTGGGATTTGTAGCTCGGACGCATGTATGATCCTGAGCTGTCTCATGCTCGGAGTACTGGCCATGCTTGGTGAAACGCTTTTAGAATTCCCAGCGCTCCAGCTCTCATGGGTTCGCATCCGTCATCTTGGGTGTCCTTGGGGGCCGGGCATCTTTCCTTCCATTTGCTTAAGAAGATGTTTTTTTTTCCCCTGTTGGTTTTAAAGGGACTCTATCACTACTGGACATGTTTTTATTTTTCCCAGGGCCCTGAACCAAATGGAAGTTTCTATCTGTGGCGGGGAGGTTGAGCGTTGCCTCGTTCCAGTTCGTTTTGTTTTGAGGCAAGATGCAGCAGCTGAGCGGGAAGAATCCCAACTTGGCAGAGCTCAGCAGGACCGAAGCTGGACTCGGCCTCGCCCGATAGGGGCTCAGCTTGGTCGCCTTTGTCAACTTTCCCGAATGACCGCACAAGCATTCAGGGGTGCATTCCAATTATTCTTTCCAGGGATCTTTTTTTCCTACAAAAGTCCGGAAAGCAAGGAAAACAGATTGGCGTCGGAAGGAACGATGGTTGAAGAGAATGGGGAATCAACACCTAATATGCACAAGCCACTTTGGGCACACATGCAACCATTCAGAGATGACCAGGTCACCAAGGGGGTCCATTTTCTCCCCCTGGGTTGGCGCACTGGTTTAAGCGACGGGTTCAAGGGCCGTTTTCAGAAGTTGAATTGGGTGAAAGTAGATGGTGCATTCCCCCTTCTGCGAATGGACAAAATCCTGCACCACCTAAGACACCCTGGCATGATGATTCCCTGTAAATACTAACAAACGTTGTGGTTTCAACCATGGCTGCAGAGTGATGCGAACGGATTTCGCAACCATCCACAGTACGTGAGATTTTGTCATCCCGCTTTGCTGGGTGTGCGAAGGGGTGACCAGCGACCAGGATCAAGGAGTGGAGGGCTGAAGACGAAGCCAAGAAGAAGATGCTGGAGGAGGGGGGTACCAGCTTACTTCCATTTGCTTCAGAATATTTATCATGTTTCTATTACAGCAGAATTTTCCAGGCGGCTTGAACACTGTGCCAGGGAAACAGCGAAAGATCCAAATGCAACCCCAGGTTCAATGTGGATTCGTTCCCATGGTTGAGCCTCATAGGTGTGTTTCCCTTGGTGTCTCAGACACCAACCAACCGAAAACGGTATCGTTGGCTTCTTTGTGTTGGTTTTGGTCCTGTTGCTTCAGAAAAAGAACAATCAGGCCCTCGTCCCCACAAATGGTCCTTGCACTTTTGTTTTTTCCCTGGGGTGCCAGGGGCAGAATGTATGGAAAAGGGGGGGGGGGACAAAAGGGAATGTGTTCTAGTCTGGGGCAAACAAACAAAGTTGTTGCTTTCTTTTTGGTTTCCGTGTGACATCACCCCAAGAAGCAGGATCCACCCGAAACAGAACATGGTTGTTGCAACATATGGTTTCAGGCCCCACTTTCTGTACGGCCTCCTTTCAAAGTGTGAAAGTCACGGGAACCACCCATGGTATCACAGATGTCCGCTGGTTGTTCACAAGCCGGTTGGACACTTTTTGGGGCTGGAACCATTTTGTGTGGTGCAAGCCACACCTCAGAATGCTGGCGTCCCTTCTAGTGTCCCTTGAACTCACTTCCTGAGTTCATGGACTTTCAACTTTTTGGGAAGACCATTGTAGTGGTTAATAAGAAGTTCCGACTTTTTCCTGGCCAATCCACTCCAGAGGTGAGTGAAGCCAACCCAACAGGAGGTCAAACGAAGACGAGCCACCCCCGCTTTTCGTTTTTTTCCTCCGTGGAAATCCACGAAGGACGCCCGCCTGAAGCGCGAGCTGGAGCGGGAGCAGGCGCTCAGAGATCTGAACGAAGCCGCGGCCAAGCGCGAGGAGGTCTGGAACCGCCTGGAGGCCACTGGATGGGACCGCAAGGAGTTGGCTTTTCCGGGAATACGGAGGCCCATAAACGAGGGGCTTTATAATATGGGAATCCTTGTCAGGAAGCTTATGCTGGTTTTCTGGTTAGAATGGGACAGGTTCTAGAAACCGGGGCATGATTTTTTGCGCCTTCCTTGCTGGTGCGATAGGTAGGGAGTGGAGGAATGAACGCAGGACTTGGTCCCCTTGAAGATAAACCGCCAGTGGGAGGGTTTTAGAAGGTTCATTCCCTCATTCCCCTGCTGAGCACCAGCAAGTTTTTGTGGATTTCACAATTGTTCTTCCCCTCCCCCTGTAGGTTCCCGATTCCATGAAAATCTGGGAACCTTTCGCTCACAAAGAATGGCCAGGGGAGCCCGATGAGTACACATAAGGCTGCCGGGATTTCTTGGAAGTGACGCACCGATGCTATGCAGGTTGTATTAAACCCTCATTATTTTCCCTTTAGTATGCTGAACCCATGTCAAAAAACAACTGCTCCATGTTCTAAAAAACACGAAGCCGCCTTGTCAACTTGATTTGGTTGGCCTGCTTCTGTCAAGCATTGGGCAACATGTTTGCCAGCCCAAATTCGGGCTGCAGCGATTTCATCCTGCGATGGCGCTTCTGCTGGACGGGCTTGGACCGAAGCTCGCCAGCCGCTGAACCAATGCTTGCAAGCTAGGTACGGTTCCAGCCGGAGCACACTGTCTACTTTCTGATGCAAAGTAGTGCTTCACCTTTCCCACGCCAACATATTGCGGATTCCGAGTCAGGTGGTGCTCAAATGCCATGTAATATCCAACAAAAAAAGCTTTTGCATCCCTTCCACATCCATCTTAACCCCCACCTCCATGCATCGAACATTTTTATTTATTTTTCGGCCTGTCGCAGCCCAAGCTTTGAGCATGCTTCTTCACCTGTCAAGCAAGTCTGAAACTACTTTCAAACTATTGTTGTTAGCAAAACACAATCATAGGGAACATGTATGCCAATGAGGGAACAATCCTAGCCAGGGTTGTGGGATTCAGGGGTTCATCCCCACTGTGATACAAGAGAATCTCCTCCCCTTTATATGGGGGGATAGTCTTTGGGAAGCCCTCTTTGTTGTATCACAGAAGTGGGTTCCATTTCCCGCAACCCTGGACTCGCCATGTTCCCAGCTGTGCGTGTCCCGCCAGGTCACTCGCAAAGAGAGGGAGGATGAGCGACAGATCAACCGCCAGAAGGTGCGAAGATCTGCGAAGAGTCGGGCTGGGGTTGACATGGGAGCAACCCAAGCAACGCTGGACAGGGACACCATATTCTAGGCCCCCCCCAGCAATTGGTGCCCTTTGGCCGTTCCTTTTTTGGTTAAGAGGGTTCCCCTACTAAAATAGACTACAGGAAAATTAATTGGTACCCTTATTCTAACTTCACTACTGGAGGACCTAGTATTGCTCACAGGGGTTTTGAGCCAGGTGTGCTTTGAGGATAGTTTTGGAGGGGTTAAATGGGTCAACGCACCTTAGGGTTGCAAATAGGACGATTTCAAGACGCGAGAGCTGCGTCGAGGGTCGGGAGTTGCCAGCTCAAGGGCAGTGAGTGCGACAGCACCCGTTGGTTTGCTTGGGGACGGAGTGCCCTTTGGCGCCTTCAGACGGCCACCTTTGTGACGACATACATCCATGGTGGTTTTGCTTGGCATTGTTTCAAGTTGGTGAATGGCATGTAATTCGCCTGGATGATGTGTGACGCCCTGGCTGTGTTCATCGCATGCCAAGCTGTGAAGCCGCAGAAAATCGTTCTGAGGGTCTGAGGGGCTGGGGGGTTTGGCGCATGTTTTCAGGTTGGACGCGTTTGTCGCCGGTTGGTTGCAAAACAGTAGGGTTGGGGAAAAAGGTTGTAGGGTTAAAACAAAATGGTGGGGTTAAAAAACAAGGGTCGCAGGGTCGTAAAAAAGTGCCGTCCTTCCCTTGTCGCCGGTTGGTTGCAACACCCCCAAGGCGGTGATCGAGCGCATCAAGAACATGCCCGTGGGCGGGGGCTTGCCTAATGTGCTGGTCTACTAGGCCGGGGTGAAAATGTCGGGCTAGTTTTTTCTTCCCTGTTGGCTAGTTGTTGTTCCTTTTTTTCTTCCTTTTTTTTTGGGGCAAGGCAGCTGAAGTGGTTGACGCTTCTGCAACCTGGACATGTGTTTTCGTTGGCAGTGAAGGCTTTGGTGCTGCACGATAGCCGGGCCACATTTCCAAACTGATGGACAGAACCTTTCAACACGCCCAAATCACGGAGCCCTTTGTTGGTGGTTTGGATTGGCGGTTTCTGGTTTTGAACCCCTGCTTGTTGTAATTAGCCTCAGGGCCTCGACAATTCGGAGTACCCAAGTTGGCGGGTTTGAAAGTACAAGGGACAGCGAGGAAGTCGCCGCGGGATTCGGGAATTTCTCGAGGAGACCCTTTGCCAAAATTGGGTCCCATCCGAACGGAGTAGCTGGGGATCTCAGATGTTGCCCAAGTTGAGGGGGCGCTCCCAGTGTTGCCAGCAACAGTAACTAGGTCCCCCAGTAGTGCCCTTTCTCACCCCTTTTTGGGGGAGGGTTCCCCTACTAAAATAGACTACAGAAAAAAGTGTACTCTTATTCTAACACCTCTACTGGAGGAGCTAGCCAGTAACAGTAAGGGCCCCCAATCGATTGTGCGGATCCAGTCACCTGACGCCCTCGCCAGGTCGGCCGCAGTTTCACCGGCGGGCATCGATGCCCGCCGTTGCTGGACTTGGGGCGATCGCCCACGAGAAAAAAAGGAGCGCGGATCGATCGCGCTGGTTGCTCACCCGTCGCCCCTTCGGCCCACGGCAATGATTGAGACATCATTCATAGGTGTCCTTTTTGGTTGTTTTGGTTAAACAAAAATGGATGGCCCTGGTTTACCCTGGCGGTTTAATCGTCTACCAGGGCCATCTATTTCCCCTAAAAGGACGCCTATGCCATCATTGTCCAGGGTCCCACCCCCAAAAAAAACAAAACTTCTACCGGAGTGGGGGGGGGGGGGTAAACAGTACGCCAATTCTGTGGCAGTGGCTCTCTCCAAAGCCTCGTAGCGAGGCAAGGCACGGAACCATTGCTGCGTTGTAGTGTCAACCCCGGTTGAAGGAAGCTGCTGATGGACTAATCGGAGTCGGAGTTATCGTCCCAGCAGTGAGTGATCCCTCTTAAAGTGCCCCTTCGGACTGGGGCCTGTTTTCTCATTCTTTTTCGTGGGCAACTACGTTGCTCATGCATGTCAGCAGGCCACCTTGGTTTAAATTGATGGATCCCACAATATGCCACTGGAGCTGTCGGTGTAGGAATGGGCCCTTGTTTCTGTTTCTTATGAACATTGTGGAAACGCACTTGGTTCAACTCCTTTGTGTGTGCGTGTTCAGAATCTCCAAGGTAGCTCCCCAGTAGCCCCATGGGAACGTGGGGAGTATACCACCATGATGCTACACCTTTGCCTCCACAATGAAAGATACCCTCCTGTCCACGAACATGGAACCCACCAGGGGGCCCCTTCAAAAGGAACATCGTCTTCTAAGACCTCTCAGTCAGGTTCCATATTGGTGGGCCAGAGGCATATGGAACTTTGTAGTGCTTGGGGGGCAGTGCAAGCCGCGTTCGATCCTCACCTCGATTCTTCGAATACAACTGCCCTCCAGGTGGACGCCAAACATTTGGCACGCGCGGTGCCATGAACAGTGAGGTTCTGGAGAAGCGCTGCTCAAACTTAGGAAGCCATCTTTAAGGTGGCCGACTTTTTTGGCTGAGCAAGTCAAAGAGGTTCAGGTGGGTGTCCCTTGCTCACTTGCCCAAGGCGAATCGACCTTTGAACCTGATGGGAAACCCCCAAGTTGGTCTACTTTTAGTCATAGTCAAGGTCCCAATAGGTGATCTGTAGTGATCTCTGGGTCCTTTGGCCCGAGTTTTGGGTTTCCCCTTGAAAAACATCGGAAGTTGGCGACTTGAGGCCGGCCGGATTTCGGATTTCACATGTGGCCTTCAGCCTGCTTTGACATCAGCATTTCAATCAAGCAGGCAGGGAAGGTGCTGAAACTTCCCAACCATCAAGCAGGGAGCTTCAACTGATACCATCTCTATGGGTAATTATCTTTATTGGTAAACATTTACATGGGAAAAAGGCAACGTTTCCAGCATTTTGCCTGAGCAGTGCCTTTATGCAGAATGTGGATGCCTGCTGGGCGTGTTGCCCACCCTGAAAAGTTTACCAGTACGTGCTTTCTGCGTCTTACCTAAAGCACATGGTTCGACGGTCTTTGTTTCTGCATTTTTTGTACTCATGGTTTCCACTTTCTTGGATGTCCGTCGTTTGTTGTTGGCGTCGAACTTGCGGCTAAAGCCACAATTGCACGCCCCGACTGTGAGGGAGGCCTGTCAGTTTCTCTTCGGCGTGACGATTCGCACGGGAGGAAGAAAGGCGCATGGTCCGTGCCAGTGCCATAACATGAAGGCTGCGACTACATTGCTTCCCGTTGCTTCCCATTGCTTCATGGATTTTGGGCAAGACTTGTGACTTGTGAAAGGGCAGACGGGTTCTGAGATTGGCGCAGTCCTCCGCGGAAATGTTTTTTTTCAGAGTTTCGTCGATCTAGGCAAGCCAAAAACCTCGCCAAATGTGGGACACTTTGGACATCTTTGGACATCTTTGGACATCTTTGGACCTAACTTGCACTCGGTTGCACACAACCGACTGACTGACCTGTTGACCTGTTGGTTTTTCTCCTTTTGGAGCTATTTTTGGCTCCAAGAAATCATCAGCTTTTGTTTCTGGGTCCCCTCCGGGACAAATTGTTAGCTCCAACCACCGATCAGCTTTTGTTTCTGTGTCTTTCCCATCCGGGGCAGAGTAAAGCGGCCACGTTCAAGGCAAGGGATGGGCAGGTCTTGTCGGCGGCGCGGGCTCGGTGCCACGAGTGCCGCTCCCGGGGCCCTAGAGTCTCCATGACCCGATGACCCAATGATTCCATGTTTTTTTTTTGGGCAATGACCAACCATTTTTAAGGGCCATGGAGACTCCAAGTACGTCTGATCTATTCAGGGTTGTGGGATCACTCGCGGTTGATCCAACCACAACCACTTCTGTGATACAAGAGAATATCCCCCTTTTTCTGGCGGTTAGTCTTTGGGAAGCCTTTTTTTGTTGTACCACACAGATGGTCATTTCCCACAACCCTGTGGGAAAACCATGGGCCGCATGTTTCTCGGGTTGCCCAATTCGTTTGCCGCGATAGCTCCATATAGCTCCCCTTTGAGCAGCGCACAAACCATGTTTGGTTATGCCAATATGGGCAGAGGCCTCGCTGCTGTAGCAGAATAATGAATACACACACAACGCTGACCAACCAACCACTAAGCCAAACCAAGAATGACCTAGATATATCTCACTTCGCGGGTGGATGGCCCAAACAAGTCCAAACTTGTAATTTACCACTCAAGTGGCCTGCGCAAACAGTATATAGTCCAGGAACTCAGGAAGTGAGGTGTAGACAAATGAGAACCAATTCCCAGAGACTGGGGCTTGCCCGAGGTGTAATCGATTTGCCCTTACCAGCCTCCACAGTCTCAGTTGTTGAAACGGCTTCACTAGCCCCTGCTGTCGCCTGTGGGAATGCGAGAACGAGAAACCGGCAAGCCGTTTGAGCATTGCAGGCCATGTCCTGTTGCAGCCTTTTCTAGGTTTTCTTGAGCGCTTGGGGTTGGGCGATGCCTGGGATGAAGATCCAAGCAGGGCTATCAGCTGTTTGCTTTGCCCAATCTATCTTGTCAGACTTGCGCCCACAGTTGTCCTAAGGAGTACTGGGGTTGATCAGCGGGGGAGCATCAGCGGGCATTTGGCGCTTACCTCGCTTGCGCCGATCTGGTTTTGGCCCAGGTATTGGTCGCGGGCTGGCGCCCTAGCATTCCCACACGCGCTTGGTGCCCTGGGCTTTGCCCGAAAACCCCCCGAAGAGTCCCCCCAGTCTTGCGGCATGCCGATATCTGCACGAAGTTCCACGCACATAAAGCGCAACATGGATAGCATCGTCCAACTGAGCGAAACCAAGGCAACCAGGGCACAACAGGAGAAGCTGCAAGCAGAAGGCTGAATCCCCGCAGTTTGCGCCTTGCAACTCTCAATTTTTCCCCCCAAGTGGGAAGGGCTGCATTGGCCGTTTTTAAACCGCCCAGCGGTTGGCCGCGCGGGTTCCAAAGCCCTTTGGGCACCATGCTCAATGTTTGTCCAGGACCAGTGCTGATGGTGAGGGTGATGGCGATGATGATGGTGATGATGGCATATCCATAACTGTGGATGGACGAATTCCGTTCGCACCACTTTGACACCATGGGAAACCAGTACTTGTTGGCATTTTCCGGGGAATCCTCAGAAACCAGGGTTGCTGAACGGTGGTGCGAACGGATTTCGCATAACCCTCCACTCCACAGTATTCAGGAAAAATGGATCCAAAGTGAGCACTTGGCCAAGGTGACTCCGGGCAACGTGGCGGGGCTCTGAGCGGTCTCTCCAGGTCTCGTTCGCAACAAAGATTGGGGGGGCAGCTCTGATGCGTCAAGAGAAGTTTTTCAAAGTGTCGCCAGGATTTTTCTCTGAAGGGAGCCATTGTCCTGACTGGGAAGAGTTCTGATATGCGTTTTTTTCTCAAGTTTCGATTGGCCCAGCTGAGGCGCAGATTGTGGACAAGATCAAAGGGAAGTGCGCAGATTGGGAGCAGACGCCTTAGGGCCCCGAGGGGCAGATGTGGGTTGATATTTTTCCATTTAGGGGGTCAAGGAGTTTCTCCCCACTTGTGTGATACAAGGGAATCCCCGTTTATGTTAACAAGGTAGTTGTTGGGAAGCCCTTTTTGTAGTATCACAGAAGTGGTCATTCCCCACAGCCCTGACCATGAGTAACTTGGGCCATGTGGGAAGCATTATGTCTTTTGTGGTGTTCTCCAATCCATCCCTGGTCCTGTGGTCATCCCACGAAAAGGAGCTTTGTTAATCAACCCCCAGATGGTGCATATTTCTAGCCGAGGTAAAGACCCCATCCTTTTGAGAAGCTTTAGAATTGCGATGGGGACATAGGTTGCTTCGAGTGCGGACCCCTCCAATCATGGAAGCTGACGATCGGAGGGTTTTGGAAGACTGCTTTCCTTTGGGGAAGCCTTAGGAATCTGCATGATGCATCCAACGATTCTTTGCGCACATGTTTTTAGCCCAGTTCAAGGTGCACCAGGCAACATTGACGTGATAGACTGAGGAAGCAAACACCCAATCAAGCGGCAAAAACAACATGTCCTGGCCTGAATGGTTGGCCCCGTATTCCAGTTGTTTGATGGTTTTTGAGGGCGTCTTTTTTCAACATTAAGCAAACACATGCTTGCCTTCAATTTTTGATGGCGCTTCCCCTGTTTTAAGGGGAAGGTTGGGGGTCCAGGTGCCCAGTCTTTCCATTGCCACAGGTCCCACTGGTGCAGCAAAAAGCCCCTTGCAGTCAGGTCAGCGCGCAAGAAGTTTGATTGGCCTGGAGCTGAGCTGGCGTCGGGAATGGGGATGTCCCCTTTCGAAGTTTCCTGAGTCACAATCAAAGCCCGGGTATTGATGATCCGGTTAGTAAGGGACGATCCCAACCAGAAATAGCTGCGGCCGCCTTCTAAAGTCTTTACATGGCTCTGGGTAGGCTATTTTAATACCGGGTTTCGATTGTGACTCACCTGAACCCTCAAACTACCCTTGCAAACGGGAGCTCTTTTTTTTTGGGGGGGGGATGGGGGCAACATCACCTGGGCAGTTTGAGTGTGAAGGTCACCACGCATGTTCCAAAAAGTTTAGTTGTTGCGCGAAGCGCAAAGGTTGCCTGGGATGTTTCTTGAGTGGATGGTAGGCAGGAACTCAGATGTTGATGGAGTTGGTGGATGTGTTTATGTCATCAAGCAGGCTTGGTATCAAGCTTGGATACATGATGTCTACAACTGGCAGGTGGGAATGTGTGAGCATGCGGGTCGTGCCGCAGATGCTGAAAGCACAGCCCCGGCTGAACATCGGCGAAACAATTGCGTAGGAGTCGATGGTTGCGGTTTTCCCCTGGCGCACCTGGGCAAATGACGTGAAAGTATAGGCACAGTTTTCTTGTGTGTAAAACAAATGGAATGACTCAAAACCACGGGGGAGTTGTGCCATGCACTTTCACCCAACTGTATGTTGGTGAGAGGGAACTTGGGCAACTGTACTGGTTGGCATTGGTCCACTTGTTGCAGTGCACCGGAGTTTTGCCGACAGTGTTGGCAACACCCGGAGCCGTTCCCGAATCCCAGCTTTTCCTCACTCCCCGAGTTCATGGACTTTAAACTTTTTGGGGCTGGACCATCTTAGTGGCAAACAAAAGGTTTGGTTACCCTTCCACTAACATGGCCTTTTTGGGAGGGTACCTGGAAGATTGGTTTCCTCTTCAAGGGGCCCCATGTCTGGTGCTATGTTAGTTGGAATACTTTTTGTTGGGCCATCCACTCAGGTTGAGATGATGTCGGCCTGTCGGCCCCACTGAGGATCTGGAGCAAAGGGGAGTGGCCGCCCTGCCCGGCTTGAGCGTTTATGTGAGGCGGAGGCTCCGAAGCTGGGCGGTCAACAAGAATGGTAACCCCCAAATGGCTGTGGATCAAGTACATGTACCAAAATGAAACTTTGGTAAATGGAACCAAAGAAACAAACACTTGCGTAACCCTAGCTCTTTAATTTTGAGCCGCGCCCAAATGGGTTGCCCTGGTTGGAAACAAGGACGATGCGGTTTCCTGGCTTAATTTTGACCCCATACCCCTGTCAGCTCCTCCAAATCCAAGTCAATCGTGAGCCACAAGCTCGCCGCAACGAACGACCCGCGGAAGCGTCTTTGGCTTTGGCATCTGGCACGTGGAAGTGGGAGAAAGTTTTGAACCCTGGTGGTACCCTTCGGACATGAGATTTCAAGGCTCTTTCCCTCAGGTGCCTAGTCCTTTGGTAGGCAACCTCTTTGAAAAGACTTGTCCAGAAATGTTTTTCTCAGCTTCCGCAGTTCCTCGTGCGGCTCTTTCAATGGCCTTCCGGTTGTTCTAGTTGTTTTTGTTCTTCGCTCTTCTTCCAATAATTGCTGGGAGAAGCCTTTTTCCATGGCGCTTCGGCTCATTTTCCGCAGATCTGGTTGCTGGGAAGCAACTTGTTTCACGTCGTTTCGGCTCACAACGTTGAGATCCGATACCAAACCGATTCGATCCATGGCCCATGGAGCCTGCGAAGAGCCCCGTGAGCTACGGGGCAGCGTCCGGCTCCGGGGAAGCTGAGCTGCCGGACCTCACGGAGCAGCTGAAAGCCAGCGGCATATATGAGGAGTCGGCGTTGTTTTTTTGTTTGATTGGCCCTGGCGCATATCATGGTTGTTGTCGGGAAACATTTTGCATGTTTGCTAATTGTGGTTTAGTGGTTGAAATCCCCACTTACCGGGTAAGTGCTGTAAGTCGTCCCGGGTTGATCTAAGTCGTCCCGGGTGAGTGTACCCGTTGCGTTTGTGGATGGAAGGATAGTTGTCTCAAGCATGTCATTTTCTGAAATCGCATAATTCTGTGCTGTGCGCATGCAAAATGTATGATGTTCTACTCGATCCCAGATTCATAACATCAACATTTGGTCGGCTTCCATGTGCCGTGTGCATGCGTGTATGTTCACTGCCACTGGGTGGTTCTCTCTTCTCGTGCCGCAGCACTTGAAGTTGTGCCACAAGCGGACGCAATCTTCATTGGGATGAGGGCACGGCTCACCCGGCGCTCGCGCGGCACTCGCGCAGAGTCGCGCGGCACCCGCGCCGGCAGCCCTTTTGTCGGGTGTTCCGGCCCGGAACCGGTTGTTTTTACTAGACCTGGCTTGGCTTAGCCCTGGCTGGTTGTCCCTCGTGTACAAAAAAGAAGTGCGAGACATTTTGCTGACGGCCAAAGGAAGTGCTTGAAAACACTATTTGTGTTTGAAGGATAGGAACCCTTTACTTGCAGTGCCCAATAGGGTTTTGCCCTGGAAAAGCATTCAACATGAACCCAAACCAGTGAGTTTTGAGCATGTGGCTGAAATCCAACCACTTAACTGCTGAAATTTAACTTTTTGCTCCCCTTCCAACGTCAACCAAGATATGGGTTTGTTTTTTTGTTGTGTTGAGTTGCTTCAAAAGGCAGAAGGTGGGTCAGCCTCTTGTGGCATGTGGCTGTTTCAAAACCGTTTTGGGATCCCTTTTTGGTTGGTAGGTGAATTCACCACCCACTTTAGAACCTATTTTAGTGGGGATTGGGATGTTCACTGCGTTGGCCCTAGGTTCCCCAGTCAGTAGTGCCCTTTTACCGTTTCTTTTTTTGGGGAGGGTTCCCCTATTAGAATAGACAGAAAAAAGTTGGCACGTATCCTAACCTCTATAGTGGAGGACCTAGCATATGTGTTTCATGTTGGTTTGCTGGTTTGCTTGTTTGGTTGTCTTTGGCTGTGTGTGTGTGTGTTTGTGTGTTGTCTTGTTTGTTTTTCTTTTGCTTGGTTGGTTGTGTGTTTGTGTTTGTTTGTGCTTGTTTGTTTGCTTGCTGGCTGGCTTCTTGCTTGCTTGTTTAGTTTCTTGAGGCGCAACGCAGCTCACGCGTGTTCCATGCTCCTTTCCTTTGGAAGTCCATTGCATCCGTTTGGCAACTGGGTCATTCGGTGCGGGTTCATAAGGCGAATGCCTCTTTGTCATTTGTTTCTCGTCATGTTGGACAAGATGCTGCATCCAGCTGATACGCGGATTTGGTTTGACTGCGTCCGGCGGGCTATGCTGGGAAGTTTGAGTGAGTTGAGGGCGAGTTCTGCAATCCGTTTAATCCCTTCCCTGTGAATATGAACAGGTATTATTGTTCCCTGACCCCGAAGCTCCCAACCAATGCTAGATCGGAGTTAGCGTTCTAAAGCGAGCGGATTTCAGAACCGATACTAAACTACCAAACCGATACCAATCTAATTTTTCAATCGAGTTGGAAACCAGCAGAAGCTCAAAAACATACATCGATTTCTGGTGTGTGAATCCCTTACGCTGAAATTGCCTTTGGAAAATTTCTTCGGGCCCGGAGAGGGGCGGGGAGGAGGGGGGGGGATTTAGAGTTGTGTCGTCTGAGGTTTGCTCAGACGTCACGTGGCCAAGTGGAGTGGGAACAGTTTGAAGCTGTTCATTGGTTTTTATGCTTCGAGGCAGGCGGCGTACATTGACATGGCCAAGTGGAGTGGGAACCTTTTGGGTGTTGGCGTTTGTCTTGTCAGGCGCAGACGGTTCGACTATTCGACTCCCCACACATTCCAAGCACGTGGGTTGCGCATTCGTGAGGAGTACCTGGCCTATCGCAAGAGCTACTTCGATTGGCGCAAGGGGAGCGCCACAGGTGCGCAAGGCCATGGCTTGTTACTGTGTATTTGATTAACATCTGAGTATTGCACATGCTTGAGTTCAAAACTTATTTGTTTGAAGGCCCTTCTTTCGCCTTCCCTCTAAATGAGGTCCGCGTCATTGTCTGTGTTGAGCCGAGAGGCAAAGAGTCCTGAAGACTTCCATTTTTGTCAGTGGCAGCCTGTTTCCCTTTTTCTTGGATGAAACCCTTCTAAGAATGGTCAACCCCAAACACTCCCCGAACGCATTTGTGGGGTCGCCAAACATGTGACCGCATTTTGGGCCGTGGTACAGCCTTGTGCCGCCTTTTGAGGCGATACCGAAAATGAAAAGGACCCGTCATGTTGAGAACTCCTTATTTCCCCGTTTCCATCACTTGTTACAACTGGGCACTCTTCCCTTTGAGACCGCTTTCCGGCAGAAGGGACGCAATATGCCACAGGCAGCTAAAGGGCTTGATTTTTCGGGTCACAAAATTACATGGCATACATGGTTTCCGGACACGGCCGACCTTCTCAGAAAGCCACTGTGTGCATTTTCAGACGCGTCATTTGGCTTGTTGATTTTGTTCTTTTACCCCTCCCCGAGGTGAGTTGACAGCAGACGCGCTGGAGCAACAATGCATACTGGAGCGTGGCTTCGAGTATTGGTACCCCACCGCCTCCATCTTTCAGATGCGATTCACCATCGCTTATTGGAGCTCAGTGCTCTTTCTGCCGCTTAGCCCGCGAGGTTTGTATGAAGCATTGTTTATCATGGTGGTGGTTGTTGGGCCCGGGATTGGGGCCGGGGGCGGTGGTGTTTGTGGTGGCGGCCATCGTGGTCGTCGTCGTCTTATGTTTGGCGCGGGGGCTGACAGGCGGCCCATTTCAGATTTCGGAGCCTTCCAAAGCCAAGGCGCGATGGTTCCTTCCAAAGCCCAGGCCCAACTTTGTTTGGAGTCTAGGTCCCCCAGTAGTGCCCTTTGACCAGCTTTTTACGGGGAGGGTTCCCCTACTAAAATAGACTACGGAAAACAGGGTACCCTTATTCTAACCTCTCTACTGGAGGACCTGGCACAGCATGGTGTCTGAACCCACCGTCAGGTTGGCACTAGCACACAGCAGTTGGAGTTCACAGCAGCTTGCACTAGACTCACGCAGCGACGCTTTCCTCCAAAGGTTCTAAGGGTTGATTCCCCCATTCTTTTCAACCATCGTTCTTTTCAAAATCCAGATTCGTTTCTCCAGGGATTTGCGTGGCTTTTAAGAACTTAGGATGCCTGGAAAGAATGGAGTTCGAAGGTACCTAGCATGGTCCTCCAGTGGAGAGGTTAGCATAAGGGTGCCCTGGTTTCTGTAGTCTATTTGAGCACAACCTTGCCCTCCCAACCCAAAAAGAAGCGGCAAAAACGGCACCGAGCTGGAGCTTGGTACCCCGCGCCGAAGGTTGGGCTCCATCTTCTTCTGTATGAACAGCGCCTGCCGGATGCTGCGCGCTCACGGGGGCCGGCCTGTGCAGGCGGGGGCCGAAGCTCGGGGCCAGGTTGGGCCAGAGGCCATTGGCCCTACCTAAAATTATCCATGACCCGAATCAAACATGGGTCCATGACCCCTCTATTTTGGGTAATGACCCCATTTTCAAAGGGTCATGGAGACTGTAAGTAGGGCTTTGGGGGAGATTCCCTCTTTTTTTTGGCACGATTCTTGATTTTTTCCAGAACCACTCGGTTTATCATGCCAGTTGCCCAGGTATGTTTTGGGGACGCCAACTTGTCATGATGATCCGACGGGCTACAGCCAAAAAACGAGGAACCCAAAACACCCGTCGGAAACCAACACATAGAAAACCACAAACCAACTAGGAAACCGCACATGAGCTACCCCAGTTTTGACCAGACGCAAGCCAACCCTCCAGTTTCTGAGGCGCACTATGCCTCCTGAACGCTTTTTGTTTGGCCTTGACAAATCCCTTTTCATCCATTTGCTTAACATTGTATTTTCCCTTGCTGGTTTTAAAAGGGATTCGATTTCACTACTGGAAATATGTTTACTTTTTTCCAGGGGGCTTAAGCAAATGGAAGAGGCAATTTGACAAATTTCCGGTTGTTTCCCCTGGGTTTTTTATGGTATCCTGAAAAGAAGGATCCCTGGAAAGAATGGTTGGAAGCTACCCCTAGACTTTTGGTCCCTCCGACGAATTGGACAGGTTTGGCCCAACTTCTTCGGGGCCATCGCTTACAGCGTCGCCTGCTACCTGCTGTACCTGCAGCTCATTAACCTCCCCACCCGCAAGGCGCCAGTGGTTTTTGGTGGAACAAACGCTTGCTCAGGACTAACATGGCTTTGTCCACAAAATAAAGAGAAACCACCATTTACAAGGCAATGTTCAGGTGCATGTATAATGTAAGGATCCCTGTTGCTCTTGGCCTTCCATTTGGTTCAGAATATTCGGTGTTTCCCCTGGTTGGTGTGCAGTGGCCAAATCAAAGGAACCCGATGCCCAAATCCACGGTGACATCACACCAATCCGCAGGTTCCGTCCCCTGAGGCACAAACGCCAACCTCCCAGCACAGAACATCTTTTCAGGGCTTTCCTTTTGACATTAGTACACTCCCGGTTGACAAGTCATGGGGAGCAGCAACTTTTCTACCAGAAACTCGTCCGTATGAGGCCTCCCAGGTCCCTGTTCGAAGGGCCTTGGAGCACTTTAATATTGGTTGACTTTAGGAAAAGAAAGTTACAACGAAGGGATGGGTTTCTTGTGGTTGTTTGCACGTTTGTTTTCCGGAATGTTATCTTGCTAGTGCGAATGAAGACGGTTACTGTAGTGTTCAGTATGCATACGTTATTTAGTACTTGCAGTACGCATCATGCATACCTGTGCCGCTGCATATGCACATGCACACATCAAGTGCGAGTCTGTGTACCATGATGGGTACATACTCCTGTAAATGCACATGCCTCGAGTATGTACTTAGAGGACGGGCCCCGAGCATTGGACGCAAAAAGCCACGCAACTGGTTGCAACTTTCATGGCCTGCTGGTTCTCGGTAACTCGCTCCCTTGGGAAAACCGAATCATAGTGGCAAAGAAAAACATGGTTGCTGGTTTTGGCCAATGCATAAAAGTTTGGTTGCTTGTTTTGGCCAATACACAAAGTTTGGTTGCTTGGTTTGGCCAATCCAAGTTCGGCCATATAGGGAACCTATAAGTGGGTTATGACCCAGGTTAGCATCACCTTGCAAAGTTAGCCGAACACCCCAAAAGACACTTCCAATCAGGCAATCCCCAGTTGGGGTTGGTGGTTTGGATTTGGATTTGAACCAGGCAAGTGGGACCCCCCACCTACCGTATCCGCGCTCCACCTGTTACCCCTATAGTAGGTACCCTCCTGACATGGAACCCACCCAAGGGCTACTGTAGTCTCCCACCCCGAAAAGTCAAGTTTTAAAGGGCATACAATTACAAGGAAATGGACTCAGGTGGGCTCATTCTCCCACGTCGGCGAGGCCCTCTTTACCCGTTTCTCCCACGTCAAATGCGCCCATTGGATGCAGCCATTGGATGCATCCATTGGATGCATCCATTGCCCATTGCCAGTGAACTTTCATTTTGGGGCAATGCCCCCCATTTTCAAGTTGGATTTGTTTGAGGGTTTAGGGTACCTAGGGCCCTGGAAATTCCCTCGTCTCGTTCTCCCACGTCAAACGGCCCCTACAAGTCAAATGGATGCCAGGTGGAGTCGCTGCGTTTCCTGTGCCCGGACTGGGGCCGGATCCACGACCGGGCCAGCACGGCCTCCTCCGTGGGCACCTTGGCGTTTTTGGCGGGCGCACTGCTCTTCCAGGCGCCGGGGTGGGGTGGTGGGGTTGGGGGGGTTGGGGGTGGGGGGGTTGGTTGGGGGGGGGGCGGGTGGGGGGTCTGGTCCTTCGGGGTGGCGGCAAAATATGCCCCAGTAGTGCCCTTTTACCGTTTCTTTTTTGGTTGGTTCTGCAAGGAAGCGGGAGCCTCGAGGCTTGATTTTGACGTCCCCTCACAAAGAAAATGAGAAGGACGTGTGGTTGGGACCCGCTTCGTGGTCAGCAAATTCATGGGGACCATGCCCGCCAACCAATCAGGACGGTGTTTCCTATTAAAAGGCAAAGCCACGTTAGCGGCTGAGGGAAGGAGAGGTTTTGCCCGCCGCACGTAGCATCAGGGTGGAAGCTCAATCACTTGCTGTAGCCCTGGAACGCGAGGTCATGATTTTGCATCCATTTCAGTTGCAATGATCATGCCCTGCAGGTTGGGACAAAGAAAATAACCCCTCTAGTGGCCACTTCCACTTTTTCCGGGTTCCTGGCATTTTCCGCGTTGGACCCACAAGTTGTACTCCTTTTGGGCCGGGGGGTCGTTGCAGCCGCCATTTGGGAGCACCTCACAAAGAAACGCCCTGACGCGCAGGTCTCCTGCACTGCGGCGGTCTCGGCCCCCAGTGCGAAGCGAAGCGCATTGCCAGGGTGGTTTTTATCAGTTGTCTCACTCCCTGACTAGGTCCCCCAGTGGTGCCCTTGCACACCCTTTTTGGGGGGAGGGTTCCCCTGCTAAAATAGACTACAAACAAATGGTACCCTTATTCTAACCCCCCCACTGGCCGACCTAGCTGGGCCAATTGGCCCAACTCAAAAAGTTGTTCAAAACCGACCTTACCTTTTGGTTATCCCTTGTTGGTCCCATTTTCAGTAAAGGTCCCAAAAGGTTTGCCGGTGATTTCCAGGTCTCCAAAGGGCCAGCGAGTTTCAGGCAAATTCTGCGCCATTTGAAGCGGGCGCGGGAGGTGTTTCTTTTGGAAGACGTCAGAGCTCGCCGAGAGTTTCCTGAAACGACCCCATCAGACGCAGAGCCTTGCAAACTCGGAGCTCGGGGAATTTTGTTCTTCGGCGCGCTTGCCGAGTTGTGGGAGCTATCTCCAAAGTGGGAGCTGACCCTCATCAGTCCGATCCTTGGAGAGTTTCGACCACTGAGACAGAGATGAGACAGGAGCCAGGGTCGCACTGGTAGACGGGGAGCGCCTTCAAGGCTTGCCTCTGAACTTGGCATGGCGAAAGTTTCGCCTGGAGAGAAGTATCCAACTAGGTCCCCCAGCAGTGCCCTTCTCTCCCCTTTTTTGGGGGAGGTTTCCCCTACTAAAATAGACTACAGAAAAAATGGTACCCTTATTCTAACCTCTCTACTGGAGGACCTAGGTATGCGTTCGCTTGTTTCGGCATATTCCCGAAAGAGCGCTGGCCGGACCCAATCTGGGCCCCAGCGGCTCGTTTGACGGAGGCATGCCGAACTTCATTGGCAGCATCCTCTTCGTGCTGGGCGGAGCGCCTCGAGCGAAGTTTTTTTTCACTGACAAACGTCCATTTGCTGAAATGGATATGCATGTGGCTATTTATTATTGTTATGATTCCCCCTGAATTGGCTTTACAGGGAATCTATCACCGGAAATGCATTGTTTGTGTTTTTCTCTGTTTTTGCGGGGGACTTCTCGGCAAGTGGAGGCAAAGATCTGCGCTTGCGCAACTTGTGACAGAAGCGTCCATGCGCAAGCGTGACTTGGATCTCGAGGTGTGTGAGATCCTGATCAACGGTGGCTCGTTGGCAATTGGGATTGGAATCGCCTCTTGAAGCCTTGGCTTGAATCAAGCTGGTTGATACGGCCAACAACTCGCGAATTTAACGGACATGTGTGAGGACCTCAGGTCTACTTAGGCTGCTTGTTCCACACCGTGTGAGGAGCTGTCGATGACAAAGACAATGGCTCTCGCGTGGTGTTGCGAGGGCCTGAGCCGTCGTCGGTCTTCCAGCGCGGTCATTCCCTCAATCTTTCTGGCAACAGGGAGGAAGTGATGCGCGAATGTGACCTTGTTCCTGGCGCAGAGCTGAAATTAAAGACGAGTGGGCTTGTTTATTGGTTCTTAAGCAGGAGGCAATACGTTCCGCGAGAAATTTTTACCGCACCGATTTGTTTGTTTGCTTGCAGGTGAGAATTTGCATTTTTTGCAGAGAAAAAGGCGTGGGAACCCGTTGCACGGAGGCTGGCCTCTTGGTGTACCTTCATCGGCAGCTGTTTTTTCACTGCCGCAGCTTTCTTCTCCCTGCTCGCCCCTTGGCTTGGCTCGCCGGATGTTCAGCGAGCAAGCAAAGCGCTTCAAAAACACATGGCCGTGGCTTGCAATACATTGATTGCCAAGTTGGTCGGTCAGCTGCAAATTGGGGAGTGGCCAATAGCGGGCAAAATGTTTGAACTAACCAAGGATCCAAAAGGGATGAGCAATCTTTCATTTGTTCCAGACCACAGGTGTCTTTTTTAGGTTAGTTTGGCTAACAATAGATGGGTTCCACTGGTTTAGGTGGGTTTTATCCCATTTACTGTACCAGGGAAACCAACCTATTTTTAACCAAAAGGCCGCCTATGTTCCAGACCCGGCATTTTACACCAGTGCCGAGCTTTCGGCTTGCTGCTCAAACCATCCCCTAAAGGTTTGCTCTAGGTCCCCCAGTAGCGCCCTTTTACCTTTTTTGGGGGGGGAGGGGAACCCCCTACTAAAATGGACAGGACAGACAAAAATGGGTACTCTTATTCTAACCTCTCTACTGGAGGGCCTCTCGTGCTTGAGCGAATGTGCAAGGTCCCGGACTGGCCGCGCAGCGGGCTCTTGAGCAGCCTTGGCCGCCTGACCTGGGAGTCTACCCCCCAATCTTCCATTTGCTGAAATGAATATGTTGTTATTTTCCCCTGTTGGTTTTAAAGGGAATCGAGACCCCCTATTGGAATTATTTCTATTTTTCCAGGGGACTTAAGCAAATGGAGGCGATGGAACTGCGTTGAGCGTTGATAAAAAGAGGCTTACTTCTAGGGGTAGCTTCCGTTTCCCTTCTTTCCAGGGATCCGGATCTTTCTTGAAACCTCGGCCGGTTTTTGGAAAGGACGATGGTTGAAAATAATGGTTGGAATCAACCCCTAGATTACTGCCGGCTGATGCTTTGCCTCAACGAGACGAGCGATGCGTGGTGCTTCTTTTGGCAGAGCCCTGGTGCGATCCTACCGATGCGAATGATGTTTGAGTACGGATCGCGCACGCTTGGATTGCATAGCGGAAGGTTGCCATTCCTGGTTGGCACCGAAAGTCAATCCTTGAGCCGGTGTTTCCTTTAGACCCACTTTGGTGGTGCCAAAGGCTTACCAGCTGTCAGACCATATAGTTCTAGTGCTACCTTCCCCATTCTTTCCAGGGATCCAGGGATCCTTCTTTCTAGAAAACCTCCGGAAACCCAGGGAAACGGCCGGTGTTTGAAGAGAAGGATGGTTGAAAAGAATGGACAAGGAATCAACCCTTAGAATAGTGCATAGCTTTCGACTCGGTTCTTTGCCAGCTCCAACTGGCAGTTTGGTAGAGGACCTTGGCTGCAAGGAGTTCTTGCCAATGCTCAGCTTCCCAAAATTGGATTGTCTTGAAACCCTAAGTCTGGGCGATGCGAGCAAGGGACGCCTGAGATTCAAAGACACACATCCGAAAATTACCTGAATGGAACCACTGGTTGCCCAAAAGTAAATTTTGAGAACCCCGCAGAATGTGACAACTTGTCATGGTTGTTGTTGGGAAGCATTTGACATTTGTGCTTCTTGTAGTTTAGTGGGAAATCCCCACTTAACTTGCCCCACAAATTGGCCAGAGCACGCTGTTGTAGTTTAGTGGGAAATCCCAACTTAACTGCTAAAATTCAATTTTTGTCACTCCCCTTCCACCGTGCACCAACTTGCCCATCTCAGTGGAACTGGAGCCATTCCATCCAGACTGAAGCCATGGCACAGGCTACTTTCTGGGCGCGGCGGCCTTCGGGATCAACGCGGTGCTGCTTTTGCTCCTCTGGCCACTGGGCTTTGGTCCCAGCGCCAATTTTCTCATCGCGCGAATTGTTTGAAATGCAAGACTATAGGTCCCCAGCGAACGGTGCCCTTCTCTCCCTTTTTTTTTTTTGGGGGGGGGGGAAGGAGGGTTCCCCACTAAAATGGACTGCAGCGAAAAGGGTACCCTTAGTCTAACCTCTCTACTGGAGGACCTAGAAGAGGTGCAGAAGAAAGGCCTTGAAAAAGACGTACTCCAGATGTTCAGCGGTTCCCTGCTCGCATTTGTTCGATTCACTGGGTTCCCCCCGTTTGAGTGACCAACCCCAATGCTTCCCGTTTTCTAGTGTGACAAATTTGGAGAGAGGATGCGCCACACTGCTAGCACTGTTTTTGACATGGCGAACGGTCAACATTTGCCAAACACCGCGTCCCCCTGCAGATGCCTTTCGTTTTACACGCTTGAATCACTTGGCTGGCCATCAGGGCTGGAAGAAAAACAAAACTCCCAGGCCGGCAAGTCACTTGTGGGTATCCCAAAAGGGTTTGGCGCCTTGCACCAAACCTTGGACCCCCCCAAAAAAAGGTTTCTGAAAATGGCCCATGCTGGTTTTGGGGAAAGGGCGGAACTGGGGAAAGCAACGGAACTGGGACTTGGGCTCACCCACGGACTGCACATGCTTGTTGTTGGGAAACATTTTTCCCAATCTTTGCTTCTTGTAGTTTAGTGGCTGAAATCCAACCACTTCACTGCTGAAAATCAATTTGTTACTCCCCTTTCCAACGTCAACCAAGTCAAAGGTTCGGGGGAACTTGAAGATTGCCTTCCAATCAAAGCTGACAGAAAGGAGAAACCTGGTTTTCTCTTGGGGGAGGTCCAGTTCCATGGGGAGAAGCGACTGCCAAGATGTTTTGTTATTCATGGCTATCAATCCGCCGGCCTCAGGGAGGCAAACGACTTTGGGCTCACGCTGTTTTACCAGCTGAACCGCGTGATTGAGGTGCCAGCTTGACGTGTCGTATGTGCCCAATGTAGTGTCTGTGGGTGTGTGCGCGGTTTTTACTGGATCCCTTAAAGCGCGATTTTTGGAGGGGTTCCCAAAATGTCTGCTTGGATGGTTTCCATTTGAACCATCATGTCCAGTTAATCTTGCGGACTTTACCTTCACGGATCCAATTTTATGTTTAGGTTACCACTTTCTTCTACTTTGTTTTTTGCAAGGTGGTAGTTGTGCACTTGCCTTTGGCATAGTGACAAAAAGGCATGGCGATTTTCTTAAGTCTCAAGCGTAGCACATTTATGCCTTCACAGCGGGACCACAGGGGGGATATTTTGCACAAACGTTGGGGAGACGACTTCCACCTAAATGGTGTCCACAGGGTCCCTTATAAATTCACACCCACATAATCCCTTCCCTCTAATAATAAACGACCCCCCCTTAAAAAAAAAAAAAAAACAGCCAGCAACATATTTGTTTTATTATTAGGGAGACCTTTATGAATAGGGGGAAGTGATTAATCCAACTAAATTTGGAAATTTGAGCCCCTGGTGCTTGGAGAGGGATTTTTTGGGGCACCACCCCGGAAACACCAAGGGGGAAGCTGAATATTTTCGTAACTTGTGGTACCCTTATGATGGTTGTTGTTGGGAAGCATTTTACATTTTTGCTCATTGTGGTTTAGTGGGAAATCCCCACTAAACTTGCCCCACAAATTGGCCAGAGCACGCTCAAAAGGGGTGCCGATCTCTTTTGACTTGTGAGCATGAATGCTTTGAGGCAGCCGCATGCATGCATCCAGATTCTCCCATTTACTGGAATGAGCATGTTTGTATTTTCCCCGGTTGGTTTTAAAGGGAATCGATTTCACTACTGGACACCAAAACGTTGTTTCGACCCACCTGATTTGCGACGACGGATGGAAGGTGTTTTTGGGACCTGCGACTGCGAGTATGTGAGCATGGTCCATGAAGTTCAATCCGGATTTGTGTGGACAAACAGGAGGGTCTAAGTTGGCCACACAGGTTCAACGAAGACAGCTGTCAGTGCCGTGTGCAAACCATCGAGTTGCAGATTTGAAACCTTGTCCTCGAGCTGCTTGCAACGGAGGCTGTCAACCGGGAACATGGCCACTCTACAATGATAATGCTTCAACGGCGCAACTTTTGCCAACGCCAACTCCCATTTGCTCAATAATGTTTCTTGTTGTTTTCTTCCCCCTGTCGGTTTAAAAAGGGGAACCAGTTTCGCTACTTGGACATATATATATATATATGCATATATATATAGATGCATATATATATATATATATATATGTATATATCATATTTTGTGCCCGGGTTTTGCAGGGAACCAATTCCATAGGCGTCCATTTTTGTTTAGTTGGGTGAAAAATCGATGGGTTCCACTGGTTTCGATGGCTTTTCTTCCACTTGCCAGGGAAACCCATCTATTTTTTTCCGCAAGGCCACCTATGCTGCTACCCCATTTTCAAAGGGTCATGGAGACTCTAGCGTTTGTTTTTCTCATGTTTTTCCTGTGTTTTACAGGGAACCGATTTCACTGCTGGACGTAGTTTCTCCTTTTTCTCCGGGCGGCTGAAACCGACGCCACGTGTTTCGGGGTTGAACATCCGCTGCCGGCCACCAGGCGGCCAGTGGCAGCACCAAGACGCTCTGCCGCGGTTTTTTGGTCGGTCGGGCGGGTGGAACCCAACAAAAAAGGGGCGTCTGGGTGATGAAAAGGGGGGGGTCCCTCCATGTACCAGTCATAACCCCAATATTCATAAGCCCCGAGTTGTTGGGGGTGAAATGTGGAGATTCAGACATATTCAGGCCACTTTTGGAGGGCCAATCCCCTTGCCAAGAGCCGCGGATCTCCGCCTTCTTGATTCTTTGCACGGTTCTGAGTAGACCATGTGAATACCGGGTTTTGAGCGTGACTCATTTGCACGTCTGTCTCAGCTTGAATCTGGCCGGAGTCTCGCCAGCTCCGCCCCAAGGGCGCGCTTGCGAGCAGCCGCTTCAGACAGCTCCAAGATGTCCATCCGCGGCTCGGTGGAACATGACGCGGCTGTGGGTCAAAAATCTGGGCTGTTCAAAGGTAATCCTCACCTGGCATTACGCAAGGGGTCCCCTTTGTAGTGGCTTTCCTATAGGGATTATGGATTAGGATTGGCCAACCCTCCATTTTGAACAGCCCAGAAAATAGGAGCCCAAAATGGCTTGCCCTGGAAAATGGACACATGGACTAAAGAATCTGCGGTTCCCTGGCTTAACTTTTTGATCCACAGCCACATCGGTTCTTTCCTCACTTCCTCAGTTTTGGGACTTTAGCCCCGACTGTTTGGGAAGACCTTTTGTGGCCCAGACGCTGCAATTCGATTTATTTTGTGCCCTCAAACAGCCAGGTCTTGAGACCCCAAAACATTTCTGGGGTGTCCAATGGAGGGTCCGGGTCTTCCATTGGAAGCCCCAGCGTTTGGGTGGCAAATACGCTCTCAGGAAGTGAGTTTCAATGGCAGATGCTCCTTCCTATTGTTTAGCCGTTTCACTAAAAGGAACAGCCGAAGCAAGGGTAAGCTTTTTGGTTGCCATCGGAAAGCTAGGACTGCTGATGGATCACGGGGCGTGTTTGGGGTAACCGACGGACGTCAGATGCCAGCAAGCTGGCACACACTGGGTAAGCATTTGGTAATATTGGTGTGTGTTCTTTTGCTTGTGTTCTTTCTGGTGGTTTGAAAGGAAAGCCAAAAAGAACACCAAAACAGGGGGTCTCCTATAAAGTCAAGACAGTAGAAATGTTTATTCCCCAGATTGAACGTTGAAGAACAAAGTGCTGCGAGCTTAGTTGACAAAGAGATGCACGGAGGGTCCCCGCCAACAAGCATTCCTTCAAATTGCTCGTTGCCCCCCGGTCCCCAGGCAAAAAAGCAAGACAAAATCGGCTTCCTGCCATTTGCTTAAGACTATTTGTCCCTCCTGCTGGTTTCGAGGGAATCTATCACTACTGTTTTTTTTTTGTTCCCCGGGGGGCTTAAGCAAATGGAAGCTTCCCAGGCTGCGCAAGGTTGTAAAGCGCTCGGCCGGGAAGTGGGCTTCAGGGCACCTACAAAAAGCGAGCAGGCGCCGCATTCCCAAGATGTCCAGTCACATCCATGGGGTGCTTGGGCATAGACACTGCCATGCGTAGCTGAAAGCCTTGCATGATGTGACTGGTTCCACCTGCACAACCTGTGGTATGTCATTAAATTGAAACATCTCCCGCGCGCCGTCCCCACATCAACCCACTGTTTGCCCATGCTTTGGGTCAGACGCCAGGCGCCCACAAACCTTGGACGTTGGTCTGACTCCGGACATGTTTGTCCGAAACAATTCCGGCCCTGGGTTCGCATGTGATGAATTGGGGAACCCGAGTTTAAAAACAATTTATCATCACATGAGGAACCCAATTCAGAACCGTTTTAAGGGAATGCCGAGTTTTGAGATTCTAAGTGTGATCTATTTAGAATCTCCTCCCTAGGATTTCCCTGAGAGCGACCCGCCGTTTCGTCAAACGGAATGTAGAACCACCTTTGCAGCACGTAGAACTTCCGGCCCTAAGTGACCGGTTTCGTCCAGCGTCTGAGTTAGGCGATGTCACCTTCATTGCGATCTACTGCTGGTTCATTGCAATGGCCTTGATCGACTGCATCATCAAGGCGCGGAACTTCAGACAATGCGTGGCTCGTCTTATTGAAAAACGGCTACCCATTTTTCCAGTTGTTAGAGAAGGTAAACCACAAGAACAAACAACAATATTGGAGGGTTCCCCTTTGGAAAAAAAAGGTATCCGCCAAAGCCATGGGCATCTGTCATTTATGCTGGTTTCAACATGGATTGGGGTTCCATGTTAACTCACATGTTGCAGATGGCCCAATGAGGATAAATGAGGCCCTTGCACTGGGACGGAACACAGCAGCTTGCACAGTTCGGTCGATCCCCGGCTGGAGATCAACCGGAACTGGATCTTGGACAAGCCGAAACGGTATACAGCGCAGTCTGCACTTCGAAGTCGAAGCTCCTCTACTGGAACCCCCAGAAGCAACAGCCAAGTTGGGCAGATACACTCAAACAAGGGAGATTCTGTGTATGGAGAACACGTTTTTCACCAGAGCTAATACGCATAACGAACCAAGAACTTTACCGCAGGGTGAATGAAACGATGGCTGATGTTGCGGGTAGTGGCTTGATTTTCCGAATGTGTGAAGAGGATGATGCCTTTCCTCATACAGTCCTCAATTCACTTTGTGGAGTCTCACCGAACGAACCTTCTTCTGGGTAACGTTTCGTTGCGGGGTCCGAGTGCCCAACATTTGTGGACGACAGAAGGGTGGGATTACCAAGGTGATCATGGACGCATGTATTCAGCCATATGACGTGCATGACATGCACACAATATATCAAAAAGGGTTAAGCAAACGGCAATGGCAAGAAGACCGCCCTTCGATGAGCATTTGGCCACATGCTGTCATAGCACCAAGTGGTCTCACCACACAGACCTATGCCCTATGGCATTCGGAAGCAACATGGCCATGACTTTCAATAGGGACCTTCCTTTGAAAGTGGTTGGTGGACATAAACCCCAGCTAAATGGTGCCCACCAAATCCCTAAGTAAGTTCATACCACCCTCAAACTACCCAGAAAGGGATGTTGCCCAATGAAGTCATGTCCTTTGTGAGTTCGAGGGTCCATGCACACAAGGCTTCGCGGCCAGGAGAAGTGGTACCAGGAAGGCTTCTACCGCAGCGGACTGCTTTTGTGGACAGGACGGGGTTTGTTTTTTGCTTCTGCCGACGGCTTCCTTGTAATTGTAGGGACGCCACGGCCGCAAAACGCCACCCCCCCAAAACAAAAGAGTCAGGGGAAAACTGCGTTTCGGATGAAAACAGACGCAGTTGGACTGCTAGGAGCAGTTTATCGCGTGTGGCAGCTGAAAATTCACCAAACTGTTACCGCACATGCGGCTGCAACAATGAGCTATCTTTGAATAACTTGCCTTCACAGTTTGTCCGAAGGTTTGTTTCACCCAAATCCAGCAGCGAGATAAACTGCCTGTTCGCTTCCTACCCCCAGACTTCAGCCGGAACCCTCCGGAGCGGGTAGGCGCTCCGCGCGCTCGGGCGCGCGCTCCGCGCGCTTGTGCGCGAGTTGCTTTCCCAGGAGTATGAAGGCCTAAGGCTTCATTTCGAGAGCGGCATTTGTTTTCGTGCCAAAAGACCCACCAAGTGACTTTTGTTTAAAGGGAACCCGCAGGGCCATCATATTAGTTCCCCCCCTTTATCAGGTCACCCTAAATTGGTCGTTTGGATTGGTGGTAAACCACGCCTGGTTCTTGTTGACGATAAATGGTAAGCCTCTCCTTAACCACCAAGCTACCAATCCAAACTGCCAAGTTGGGGGAAGGAGATTGTTTGGTTTGGATTGGTTACCACCAATCCAAACCCCCAACTTGGCGGACGCTGACCGTTGGTCTCTTTCGCTCAGCCAAGGGTCGGCTTGCCGGTCGAACTGGGAGGCTTGGGCCTGCAGATCTTCGTGGTGGCGACCGTTGGGAGCTGAGCTTTGGCACAGCCAGGCCGAGCTGAAGCTTGAGGTTTTGTAGGCCCTGCGGATCCATCTCCCTGATGAAGGGGGAAAAACCGGGGAACAATGACAAGGTTTTTCCCAGTGGGTCCAACCATTTACAAGGGATCCCTGGGAAAACACATGGACAAATGCAAGTGTGTTTTCTTTCTTTTTAAAAGTGGATCCAACCTTGTGTTTCCGACATGTACAGGGGAACCCTGGGAAAATTAATGGAGAATAGCTGGTTACCTACAATAATGGGAGCTGGGACCCACTGGCAGTGGCAAGGTTGTGGGTAGCTCCCGCCCCTTGCGGGCTGGATTGGTTACCATTTGCTGCCGTTACACACTGCCCGGACGCATGCTTTGCTGTTTGTGTGGACTTGCAATCTCGGCGTTCCTGGTTTGTTTGAACTGGCCCGCTACGTGTTGGCCGAACACTTGCTTTTCCATCTGCTTTGCTTTCCATTTTGGCGTTCCTTGTTCACAAGTGTCGGGGGCGAAGAGGACATGAAGAGGACTTGGATGGTGAAAGTTTGCTGTTTGATATTTACCCAACTCACTTGTCCAAATGACCTTTGCTTTTTCCATTTTGGTCAATTCAGCCATGGGCCCAACAGATCAACCTGGTATATCCACGTTGGGGCATTTCTGTGTAGCATTGCGCCCTCGGTTGAGGTCTTCATTGCCGGGGCCTGAGTCTGCGCGAAGCCTTGCTTCCGTGGCAAATGCCCCCTGAGATTTCGCAATTTGCCACGTGCGGGTTGATCACAAGGTCCTTTGCATGGGATGACCCTTTGGGGAAAACCACTCAATGATGATATTTGGGGGGGCCAGGAATATTGATTCACCCCCATGTACATGATTTCCATTTGGTAAAGGGGAGGACGCCACAAGGAGTTTATGGTTTCTTGACCCTTCCTGTGGGACGAGAAGAGTTGGGGATGGCGTACCTCAAAAATCTGCCCGCTTGGTTCCTACCTAGATCTCGCTTGTTGGCTCGGCCAAATTCCCGAACAAATTGAGAGGGATCCTGTGCATCCCGTGCTTAGCAGAGGGCTAGAGCCTTGATTTGAACCAGCCCCGTTCGCTGCGTGTGCGCTTGCCAGGGTTTGCCACACCAAGGAGGATCCCTATAATTTCCTGCTCGATTGGTCGCTGAAAGATGCTGAAGGGGTTTGCGGGGCCCCAAGTGTTTTCAGGAGAGGCTGGCACTGATTGAACTTGATCCTGGAGCACTGCGAGTCTGCTGAGGTGCTTCTCATCCACTCGGTGGTCCTTCAGGCTGCCGCTCTATCGGTGATGTCTTCCTTTTCCTCTCGATTCGGAATCCGCTCTGGACATCGACGATCCCAAATGCGCCCATTAAGCAGGTTTGGGGGACGAAAAGGGAAGGCGATCCGATGAAATCGCCCAAAAGCCTTGCGGGCTAAGCTTGGTGAGTGCTTAAGCTTAGTAAAGGACAGAAAGGGACTGCGGGTCAGAAGTATCAGTCAAAGGCGTTCTGAGAAGTTTTGCTTGACCGTTCCCTCCAGGCCCCGAGTGAAATGCCACAAGTACATTTCAGCGCGGGAATGCAATTGCAAGCGCTGCTTGCAACCGCAAGCAGCTTGCCAAGCATCAACTGTCAGTGACAGGTTCTATGGTTGACGCCAAGCACGCCCCATACCTCTTTGCTTCCCCAGAATTAGCTCTCCCCTTTTGTTTTTGTTTTTGTTGCTTTTTGGGGGATCCCTTTGTTTTCCACTAACCAGGCAAAAATACATAGTTTTGCAGGCGTGCTAGTTCCAGCCTAGTTTGGTTTCCCTTTTAGCTTACTATTGGCAGCCGCCAGGTGCCCAGCGCCGAGCCCTTCCGGAGCGCCATGTACGCCGCCAGAGCTGCTCGAAATGCAAATGCGAAGTGGTTCAGCACGTCTGCAGTTTGTGACACATGACATGCTTGTTGTTGGGAAACATGTTTCCCATTTTTGCGCAAATTGTAGTTTAGTGGTTGAAATCCAACCACTTAACTGCCAAAATTAAGTTGTTGCTCCCCTTCCAACGTCAACCAAGCATAGGTGCGGCTCAAAAATGGGGTAGCCCCTTAAATGTGTTGCCCTGGTAAATGGAACCAAGGGCACATGGGTCCGTTTTCCCTTTCTTGCGGGAGAGGGAGGGGGAGGGGCCCCTTTTTGGTTGGCAGTCCTGCAGTTTACGACGCATGTGGAACCCCAAGTAGGTGTAACCCCAAAAGTGGGTAGATAATAGGAGTGAAGCCAACACGCCATGAGCCTCTTCATTTGGAGACATGGCTGTGGGGTCAAAAATGCCCAACATGGAACCCTGGTAAATGGAAACATGGACCCAACCTGCGGGCTCAAAAAGGGGTAATCCCAAAATGGGTTGTTCTGGTAAGTATAACCAAGGACTAACATCTGCGGTCGTTTAGTTTTGACCATACCCGTCTGTCTTTTTGGGGGGGTCTCATTTTTGGTTGGTTTCAAGGGGAAACTCAAAAGGGGGTCCCCTAAAAAAGACACACACCGCACGTCTGGGCTGAGTGTGACATTCCGTGGAGATCGGGTGATCTAAGGCCATACTGATCCTCGGCACCTTGTGCGAATCCATAGTGCCCGGGCAATATCCAGGGGTGGGAAGGGAAAAGGGGTGGGGTGAGACCGGTTTCGAGTGACCAGAGACCGCCGGGTTTTGGGTTTTATGAGGATGTCATGGCCTTCCTCAGCGGCTACGCCACCTTGGACGCTGAGCATTTGAAGTCCCTACTGCGGCGCCATGGCTTGCTGAAGCAGGTATCACCCAATCCGTGAGCTCGTTCTGACCAGCACGACCGTCTCCATGACGTCATTCCCGAAAAGAAGGGGGGCGTGGCCCCACCTTTGAAGGGTCATGGAGACTCCAGGTGGGGCGCAAACCAACCGAAAAAAATCAGCGCGCAGTTGCAAGTCCCAGCTGGGAAGCACTTTGAAGACATCTAAAATCAAAGCACCGCGAAGGTGCCTTCTTTCAAGGGCCACTGGAGGTTCGGGGAAAGGGGCACTGAGCACGGGAGGCTTGGCTTGTGCCTGGAAAAAGCCACGAAGTCTTGCAGGTGTTTTTGTTCTTCTTCTTCTTTTTGGTGTGTGTGTGTGTGCGTTTGTTAAAAGAATAAAACATAATCAACAAGAACAAGAACATGTGCTTACATTGTTGTACTGAATTGTCATTTTGCTGTATTTTCCATATCCCTCGCATGCGCCTGCGGACAATGCGCTGCGTGGCTCGTCTTGATCGTGCCCTCTTCGAATTGCAGCTGGTTTTGCCACATGTTCTCCAAAGATTGCGCGATGTGTTTGGCCGACGCTAGCATCAAAGTGGCATGGATCATTTGCTCGGAGATCTCTTTTTCAAGCGTTCACAAGACCAATTCCAAGGGAAACTGTGGGTTCCCATGTAGCTGTCATGCACATTCGTTGCATGTGTAGGGATTTGTTCGCAACCCTTGGACCATTGCCAGGAAATCAGGCGGCCGCGCGGTAAATCTCAATGGGCGGATTTACACGGCGAGATGCTCAGGGAGATGCAGTTCGCCGGATCTGCGCCAAGTGTAGTGAGGGGATTTTTGACGAGGGGGGTGGGTTGGTAAGTGAGCTTTGTTGCATCCATTTGCTTAAACATATGTTTTATTTGCCCTGCTGTTTTCAAAGGGGATCTATCACTAATGTCCACCTCATATTTAGAAACGCCCCCCCCCCCCCACCCCCCTCAGGTCGTACGGAGGGGGGCCTGTAATTAGAAGCTTCCGGCGGATCCCGGAGATTCCTTACCTGGCTGTTGGTCAGCGCCTTCGTTCAATACGACTTTTTGTGGCTGGGTAAATCGCAGGGCCTGGCCTGTTTCGCTTTCAGTCACGCACTAGGCCTTTTTTGGGGATTTCCTGGGCCAAGCCGGATTGTGCAATTACGGGGGGGTTTCTAAATACGTTCGGGGATTTGGATTGTGCAAATACGCGGAGGTTTCTAAATATGAGGTCAACATTATTGGAGTTGTTCTTTATTTGTTTGAGGGGCTTAAGCAAATGGACGGTTGGAAATGGTTGGAATGGAATTCACATAAAGTAGAAGGGCGAGTATGTTGACACTCATTCTGTCAAATCAATGCGGCACACATGGAACTCTGAATGCACCAAATCAGCCGGTTAAATTTCATGCAACTCGATTCTGATGATGCGCGGAGGCGCTGCAAGCGTTCGTTAAACTACGTAAAATTAATACTTTGCAAGCCACTCCCAGGGGAAAAGCGGGTATACTGACCCTTGTATGGCTAGCGGCTGCAGGTCGCACTCTTCGGCTGGCTTGGGGCTGGAAAAGTGCTAAGGCCGAAGACCTCGAACAAGCGGAGAGAAGGCATTGGAGGGTCCAAGAAGCCTCGGCGGGTGGGATTTCCATGCTTTTGCCATTTGGAATCAGAGAAAGGCTGATGTTCCACGACCAGGTGCCCTCACTCCATGAGTTCCTGGACTTTTTTTGGGTAGTGGTAAACGGGAAGTTTGATCTTTTCTTGGCCAACAGGAAGTGAGTGCCCTTGTGACATGTAATGTTTCTGGGGTATCAATCGAACCCCTGTTTGGGGCTCAGAGGCCTTCTTGAGAGAGCTTGTTCTTTCACGGCCTACCCTACATAGCATAAAGAAGCTTTGTCTTTGGGGTGCCTTCAATCGGCATGCTGCACGTGTGATTCATTGCATCTTGTACCCCCTTGTGATTCACATGTTACCTCATGGCCATTGGGCTCATGGCAGCTTCTCAATCAAGTTGCTTGCAGCTGCTGTGCATGTCGCATCCCTTCTCCGGTTCGTTCCTCACTGAAACTAACCACACAGGAAGCCACTAGGTGCCCGAAACGCCGCTTTCGAAGAGAAGGTGGCATCAGTCCCAAGCAGCGAACTCGTGGCGTGCTCGACTTGGGGATCTCAGGCCGTTTTTCAGGCTTGCTTAAAACAATCACCAAACTATATAAACCAGCATGGTACTAGAAGAACATTGGCATATTCTTTTGGTAACCTCAAGTGACCAAGTTTCCACCTGTCCCTGGGAAAAAGCTCTGGTTCCCACACCAGGTGCCGAGAGAAGTTCGGGCTGTCACCTGCTGACGCGCCTGCCTTAGCTGTTTCTTGAGTGTGGTATTGGGCAAGGGGCCTTTTGGCATGTCAAAATGTGAATGCTGCAAGTCGGGAACAATAGAACCTGCTTTTGAAGGATTGGACTGAGGTCGCTTGGATGAGCTTAATCCCTTGCCCCTAAGAACAAAAGGGTACCCCCCAAGAGAAAGAACATTTTCCAGAAATGTGTTTTTCCTTATTAGGCCCAGTTCCGGTTTGTCCTCTTCGAATGAGGCGCCTAAAAATCGTTCAAACGCGAGCGAAAGGTGAGGTTTTAGCAGGAGGATCTGAGGGAACCTTGACCATCTATCTGGGGTCGGGAATGACCTCACATATGGCCCTTTCTTTTGGGTAATGACTCGGCGGTTTTCCGTTTGCGATCCGAAAAAAGGGCAGATTTGGGGGTTTACCAGCTAAACCACGGCGGGAGCTTGTAGACCGTGCCTGGGATGTGCCTACATCAACCGGGCCTTCCACTTCACTTTCCGCTGCCCGGAATCTTCTTCACCTTCTGCAAGCGGATGCCCCGTGGACTGAACATTGGCCAATGGAACTCCCCTCACAGGGGGCACACATGTGCACAGCACCGATGATAAAGAGAGTTCAAGGCATGGTTGTGCCTTTGGTCAGCTTTTGTGGCGTGTGGTACCAAGAGTATCCCTTCAAAATCATGAAGTCATGGAATCAAGCTCCTTGGCAGACGTGGGCTGCAAGCGGATGAACAAGACAACACAGGAACCGAGGCTCGTGGCTGTACCAGCGACACTCAGTCAGGTCAAGCGCTTGTCTCTGCGCCGGGTGGCCAAGATCAGAGTCATGGCACACTAGCAGCTGCAAGCAACTTGATTGAGAAGCTGCCATGAGCCCACTGGCCATGAGGTAATGTGTGAATCACACGGGGGTACAAGATGCAATGAATCACACATGTGTGGTCAAAAATAGGGGGAGCCAGTGGGGAGCCGGATTGTTTCTGGCCAGCAAGTTGCAAGCTTTGACCCTAAACGCTGGCGGAATGAGCAGAAGGCATTCCCGTCGGAGGTGTGCTAAAGCTGACCTCTTGCTAGCGCGCACACCGAGTCTGGATACCATTTTTGCGGTCATGGAAACGCGGACTGTGTGTGTGTGTGTGTATGTGTGTGCGTGTCCAACCTTTCAGTGAACTTCCGTCGTTGGAAAGAGGGTTGTTTGTCCCCTTCCAGTATCAACCTCGAGGAAATCAACCAACTTCCAAGCAGGAAATCAAGTGACTTCCAAAGAGGCTCTTTGGAAGTTGGTTGATTTCCACTAGGTTGATATCAAAAGGGAACAAACACCCTCTGTACTTCTTACTCCTTGCTGCCTTACTTCCAAGCTGTCACCATTGCAGGCCGAAAACTCGAGAAGCCGGAGGTGCAGGCAAGAACGAGCCATTTCTGACATCTCTTTTCATACCCTCCCACCAATTAACCTGGAACCTCATCGTTCCAAATCTGGGGGTCCTGGAAGACCATTTCCCTTTGAAAGGGAAGGGGTCCCGAACGTCAGGCCATACTAATTGGTTGGAGGGTAGTTTAAAGCACAATGTTCACAAAGCGTCGCCAGATTCCAAACACATGTTGGGCCAGAGCCTTTTAGCAAAACCGACCATCTGACACTCTCCTGTTGCACTATCGGTCTGTGCGAGTGGACTTCCTTTGCCTGTTGTTCCTTTTGCAACAACAGCGCAGGGTCATGCCGTGGTGTTGAGCTTTGCGCTCCGGCTCGGCATGTGTCAGGTGAAGAATGGGCCAAAGGAGCCGACTGCTACGAGGGAGCAGACGGAGCCGACGGAACTCACGGAGCCAAGGGAGCCGCAGAAAGAGCAGAGGGAGGTGCCAGAAGACGACGTTCAAGTCGTGGAGAAGCCAGCGCTCGAGGCGAGGAGCGTTTGCTTTGGGGCGGATGGCGTGAACGGAGAGGGAAGGTCAATAGGGCCTCCTTCAAAGCTCAGCCGAGGCGCGAAGGCACTTGGAGTCTCATCAAATGTGGGTGGTTGTTGTGACCCAGGTTTTTCCAGCGGTTCCTTTTCGTCCTTTTTTGTCTGGTGAGGTTCCCTTACACAAGCACGAGGGTGTCTGCTGTTTTTTTTTGTTCCTTTTTTGGGTGAGGTTTCTTTGCACAAGCACGACCAGCGAGAGCACTAGGGGTCTGGGATCGTTCGCCCGGGCACCGGTGCGCCGGTGCCCACAGGAGCCACACCGGCAGAGCACTGAGGAATTCTTGGCCATGCGCTCAGTTCGTGACTCAAGGCTGTACCGGACCCTGGAAACCCAACCAACGTGGGGAGGTTTTTCTGAAGACTGCAATCGTCTTGAAACAACCCCTTGTCCACTTCCATTGTTGGAGACAGGGTGGGCTCGTTGGTCCACGGACCGTCGAATTGCCGGTGCGCGTTCCATTGTGGAAAGCTTTCTGCGCTCAGGGCTGTTGTTCACCTTGCTGGTTCTCAATGAGGGAATGTCCCTTTTGAACCATCCCATGGCTTTCTTTCTGGGAATCCTTATACCTGGAGTCTCCTTGTGACCCGAATCAAAAATGGGTCAATGGCCCCATTATGTTGGGCAATGACCAACCATTTTTTAAGGGTCATGGAGACTCCAGGTAGCTTCTTCGGCACTCTTGAGGCAGAGCACATATTGCGTAAGTGCACTTC